ATACCTCCCTAAATTTTATCCAACCCTAGCAAGCATCCATCCCTAAATATTATCCAAGCCTAAGTTCCTGCACATGTGGCTAGTGAAAGAAGTAATCATTGGTGCTATTGAACCCCTGCTTTTGATAATACTGATAACCAGGAAGTATTTACTAATATCCATGCACACTGATAATAGATATCCAGATAGCCCAGACAGGTATCTGTTACAAGTGGATTAATATCCACTTCGTCAAAAAAACGTATCCTGGAATCACATGTCAATATCAGAGCACAATAGATCACACTCGACCCCCCCAACATTATATTCATTACCATTGAGCAATAGTATCATCCAAATCACTAAGATGGTCATCCGGTTGAGTATTGTTGTCCGGCGTGACCGCCTCATTTGATTTCATTCTCTTCCTATAGGAACGTTTCTTTCGACGGCGTTCCTTTTCATTCTTAGACTGGTAACGTTCCTTACCGTTGCTCCTTGGATTACTCTTCTCCTTCAAAGTCAGCCCAGTCATCGGTATAGACCGTCCTACAATGGTACAAAATTTAGTGAATGCAATGATATTAAACTCCAACAATTTGCAAATAATATTAGTGAATACACTTACTGTCCTCGCTAGTTATAGTCTTTGACAATGCCTTGTTTGCCTCATTGCACAGTTTCTTGAGTACTCCCATCCACTTATCGTAGTCTTTCTCCTCGGCCATCGACAGTTTCGTTGCTAGCTGATTCAACATTGTAGTGGTTTCTCGGTACCGCATTGCTATACCTTTTCCCGCATCATTCTCACTGTCAGCTGAAGGACCAACACAACCATCAACAACCACTTTCTTTCTCGCCTCCAACGTCCATCGCTCGAGTATGTAATGATCTGGAATACTTCTCATACTGGCTTCCCCAAAATCTCCAAGATGCCGCATCACTTTAATCATGTGGCGGCATAACACTCCGAAAGTTCTGAACATCCTGCATTCGCATACCAATGTCCTCGTAGAAATATCAACGAGAACGACACGCTCATCACTACGCTCACCATCCTCTATAATATATGTGAGGTAGCCAATCATGCCATCATCCCTAGTATCTGAGAGCGTCTCCATTATATAGGGTTCAGTTTTCAAATACTGCTTTTGTATCCGATTGAAGATGTTAGGAGTAAAGACCTTTGCCGCATGTTGTAGGATCGGGCTATCCTCCAACATAATATAAGGAACCGATTGTTTCCCATTGTAGTCTGACTCAGTCTCCTTGCGTCTTTTTTCAGCCAACAAACTACATTTACAAAGCACGAGAAAGAATTTAGTGCCCAGACTAATATCCACTCAAACCAATACTAATATCCCAACTACACAGTTAAATATCGTTCCAATAGCATATAAATATCCGGACAACGCTGAAAAATATCCAAAATTAGTACACTAATATCAAAGAAAGGCAAAGAAATATTCTGCATACCTGCTAAAGTGAATGAAAAACAAGTCCAAATCATGCTTCGGTTTCAAGAAAAGTCGCACTTGTGCATTGCACGACTCGCTTATTTGCGTAGTCAACATCCCGGATGTGAATTGATCTCTCAACCATAAGGAACACCATCGACGACGAAATTTCTTCAAATATTCCAACCATGGGTGACCGTCCGCAATTTCGCTATTAGGGAAACAATCAGCAACCATTGTGCTCCAGGCCATGTCGAACTCTCTCTCACTGTCGATGTCGTAGAAAATATAAGAAAGATGAGTTTGGAACTTCTTCCAAAATGCCTTGTCCTTACGAAGATGCTTCTTCGCATTCATGAGGATGTGCCAAGTACAGAGGGCATGAAACACAGTAGGCAACTTCTTTCTAAGGGCAGCTGCCATGGCGGCGTCCTGATTAGTAAAAATAGTGACTGGGAGCTTCTTCTTCATACACCGACTAAATGCTAAAAACAACCATTCAAAAGACGGTGTAGTCTCATCATACATCAAACAAGCATCAAACAACAAGTTTGACGATGGTGATTGAAACCTACAAACATCCCTGCAAAAGACAACTATTAATGACAATGCATAACCGAACGAGTGTCGAAAAAACTTAAGGGAATTAGGAATTGATATTGTCCCAACACATGTCAACAAATATCTGTAAAACCTAGACTAGTATCTAATAATGTCATACCAATATTCGTCCTTATACAAAAACATATCCTGTCAGGCCATGCCAATATCGGATCACAAGAGACCACTCTTGAACCACCCTACATTCTATTCAATACCATTTCCGTAATATACATACAAACATCCATGCACAAGACAACTATTACTCACAATCCATAACCGAACAAGTGTCGAAAAAAATCAAGGCAATTAAGTGATTCACGTACCTAGTGGACGGAAGTATTTATTGGTTCGGAAGGTGGTATCAAAGGAGACCGAATCTCTAAAAAGCGCATAATCTTCACGCATCCTACTGTCCGCCCAAAAAATATTAGCAACTTTCTCCTCGCAATCTACCTCTACAGCATAAAAGAAGCCAGAATGCTTTTCCTTTTGGTCCTCAAAGTAGTCAAGCAAATAAGTCGCTTCGCCACGAGCCATTTTCCTTTGCCTTTTACTGTTCAAGTGGTTCTTCTGATCAGATTTGGAAAATTTCAGATTATGATAGCCACCAGCACAGTCAGCCAATAACTGATACGATGCACTAAGACTCATCCCGGCATCCCGATTAGCTTCGGCCATCTTTTTCTGAGCATCACTCATGCACTTGTTGGACTTGATAAGGTGCGTATGCTCGATGGAGTGCAAATCATGATTGTGGCCTCCCACGAATTCATACACCACATATCCGTCTCTAGATTCATCTCATCGAAAACGAACAAGGGCACTACATCCAACCCTAACTCGAGGCCTCTTTCGTTTAGGACGCTTTCTCTCCACAACTTTGTCTTCGGACTGTTTTTGTTTCTCCACATCTACTTCGCTAGTGGAAGTCCAACCTTGCTTATTACAAAAGTAATAAAGGTAGAAATAAATTTTCTCCACCTCTCCATTAGAATTCTTCATTTTTTTTTGTGTTGAGCACCATTTCGAACACCAAAACCTTTTTCGTGAGCATAGCGTTTATAGAAAGCCAAACACTCTTCCTTAGTCTGATGAAATATGTTCTTCCTCGTTTCCTCATCTTCTAGGTCCGATGTCTTGTGAGCTGCGATTTAATTGTAAGAGGCCATGTTAGTATCCACATTTAACTTGCCCAGACAATTACCCAACATGCCCACAATAGTATCAAATAGACTTCTAAATCATACCCATAAACAGACTGAATTCTTAGGCTTCGACAAGTATCCAACCTTCAATTACATCATATCCTTTTGTTCCATAAACATATGAGTAGCCTCCACCAAAATATCCAATATACCCAGACTAATATTTAACCTACTCCTAAATGTATCCATAACAGTCTAAAGAATATCCACACTCAAAAACCAAAAAAAATATCAAACCACTTTCATCACGTCCATATTAATATCCAACATGCCCAGGTAAATATCTAAGATGGTTTTACAATGTATCCATGACACCAGAAAATAATATCCACACCCAAAAACCCAATGAAACAGGAGGTTACACCCAAAATAATATCAACACCATTAAATGACATTCAATGCACACAACAAAACTCAACAACACAAACATATATATAATAGAATCCACCTTCACTTTCTTCTTCTTCTACAATGAAGTCACCCACACCATCTGAGTCTTCGTCAACAAATTCATCTATTGTAGAATCGAGTTCTTCTTCTTCTACAATGAAGGCAGCCACACCGTCCAATTCGCCGTCGTCGTCGAAAATCATCCTTTCTCCAGATGATCTACTCGCCGGAAGGATCTGCTCGCCGGAAGGAGAGCTCGCCGTCGCCGCCAAGGAGAGTCTCGCCGCCGCCAAGGTTGAGCAGAAAATTTAAGGAAAAAAGGAGAGAGAGAGGGGTTAGAGAGTGAAAGTGGTGGTTGAGATCATAAATGCCACCTTCCCCTTTTGTTCAACAAATATTCCCATTCCCCATTCCTTCTTCAGCAAAATGGCGCCCAAAATTATTCACCAAAGCAAAATGGGCCGAAAATAATGTTTAATGAGCCTTCGGCCCATGGGCCCTCGGCGGGCAGCACTTATTAGGCTGCAAGCCCAGACCCGAATTAATCCTCCCTTCTCCAACTTTCCCGCCCAAAATTTTGGGCTCGCCCAAACCCGCCCACTTCCTCCGCCCAAAATTTCGGGCCGCCCAAAACCCGCCCAAAAAAGCGCCAGGCCTTCTCTCCTCTCGGCTCATGGGTCAGTGAGTATCTACTCACAGTTTGGCCTGTGAGCAGTTTAACTTTTCCGCCTCACAAGTCGCAACCAAAAATTCGAAACCGCAGCTCGGAGAAGAAGAAGCAGCGGCAATCCTCAGTTTCTCGCTTGAGGCTTTCTTCCGGTTGAAAGATAACAGCCAGGCTTCTGCCTTTTGGTATGTATGAAAGACCGACCTCAAACTTTGGTCGAGAGGTTTTTGTTTTCCTTGAGCAGTCGAGCCAGTAGGTTTTTCTTTATAAGGGAAGCTACCAGCTGCTTGCAGGATCAGAAGGGTCTGATTTCGACAAAGATAGGAACACCAATTCGTCCTCCCTGTTTTAACAAAGCTCGGTGCATGAATGTGATTTCTCTAACATGGATTCAGAATGAATGATTAGTAGCTTGAGTCAATTTGGTTTGTGGCCCAAAAGGTCCTTCCTTGGAGAGAATTTCAGTTAACCGAAAGATGCCCTATATTCTCTGAACCGAGTAATATGTTCTGGATGCTAGAAATTGTTAAACTGCTAAGGGGATGCGGTGTAATTCAGTGGTGCAATGATGGTATGTTCTAACAAAGAATGCACTCTAATTTCTTTGATTGAAAACTTGTGAGATGCACTTAGTTTTTGCCTCGGTTTCTGCTGAATCTGATGTCATTTTGTCTGGGAAGATCTCAATTGTTAACGAACATGCAAATCATCTTTTCTGAAGAGTGGTTGTCGGTATCATTTTTTTCTTTTCCAGTTGAAATGGGTTGGAAGGAGGCCGGAAAGTTGATCAGACATTGGAAAGTACTCAGAGGAGATAATGTGAGAATGCTTTGTGGGATCTGTTGTTCACCCATTTTGATCAACTACCAAGCATGGATATAATGTTTCCTATCATTTTCATCCATTTCAGGTCAGGATTATTAGGGGCAAGGATAAGGGCGAGTCTGGTCTGATTAAACGTGTAACCCGCTCTCAAAATCGCGTTATTGTCGGGGAAAAATCTGGTAGGAAGCTAAGGTTTCTGTGTTTCACTGCCTTGTTCTTTCCTAGGGTGCTACAATCACATTAGCTGTGAAGAATATATGCTTCCATCTCCTGCTGGATCTGTATGAAAGTCCTACTAATGATGAACTGAATCATGGATTTGAAGGGATCATAATCTACAAGTGTGGTGCCTAACTTGTGTGGGTTGTCCAATCTATATATTCATATCTGAACTTTTATCTGAGGAATACACCCTTTGGTTCTTCGGTTACATGTCCTCTATCTCGAGGAACTACATGTTGCAGCCATATTTGCATATACCTCTCTGTTTGTAGTTCTCATCGCCTTTGTTTTTTATCTGAAATTTATTCACTCAAGTGCTGTGATCCAAAGCCTCACTAGTTCGTTGATGATATTAGTTATCGGCTAGTTTGAACAAAATAAATTCAGGCGAACACTTCGGATAACTGTGCTTGAGCTTGTGTTCATGTTTCTAGATATGGAAGCAAGACCCACTTTGTAGTGTGTTAGTGTGTAACTTTAGGCCCAGATTGTACTCTAGGGAAAGAGAGGGTTAAGTTTCCCTCGGCTTCTTGGCAAGGAATTATAAAATTCACTTTTCTTCTTTATGCTATCTTCTGGTACTCTTCTTTCAAAAATCTGTGTTCATGGTCTCTATGCGACTGTAACTACTGGGTGAGCAAGTCAAGTGAAATAATATAGACTTGGCTGTCTTCGTGGTAATTTCTCCTTTACTGGCAGGTTAAGAAGCATATAAAAGCAAGTGAAGGTCACGAGGGAGGAATCTTCACAGTTGAAGCTCCACTTCATGCATCAAATGTCCAAGTTGTTGACCCACTCACAGGGTATACAGTCTACCCAATACTACAAAGTTTACTGCATGCCATTTGTTTCTCCCTCGCCTAACAATTTCAACATTCTGCAGGAGACCCTGCAAGGTTGGAATCAAGTATCTCGAGGACGGTACCAAGGTAAGAGTGTCACGAGCATCTCAATCGATAATTATAGGTCCTGAGATATTGAAGATAAGGACGACGCCAAGACCTAACATAGGTAATATCTCTCAAAGCTTCTCTCACTCACTCGTCTTGCTAGATCATGGGAACTAGAGCAACACCCTTGATCCTATCTAACTTCAGTTTGCTTCTTTTGCTATACAAATACAGCCGGTCAGAAGGACACTCCGATGGATCTCGTGCTGGAGAAGACCTACGACTGTAAAACTGGGAAGTGCATGCCTGATCTTTGAGAAAACTGAGCGGCACCTTCGATTTGGTATTCTGCTAGAACAGGTCAATAAATTGCTTATGTACCCATGGAGCCTTGTTCCTTGTTCCTTGTTCAACGTGCATCATTCATCTTATGGCCAAAAAGAAAGCTATTTTGATGTCTTCAGGGTTAATGACCAATATGGTCACTGAATTCAGCTATATAGATCACGTTGAGCACTGAATTTCAATACAGGACAACTAAGCATGAAATTGCCACTTAGACTGCCACGTAAGATGAGGAGTTGCTCTGTTTCAGAATTGATATCTAGGCACTAGGCTTCCGCTATCTGTATTCTCTGTTTCGTATGGGAAAATTGAGCCACATGAAGATTAACGACAATGATGGTCGCAGTTACCTTTTGAGATTACTACTAACTAATTTCCAAAAAAGCCAATAAAGAAAAGACAAAAGTAAAAACAAATTTTCCCCACCTAGCCTCCGGCGATCTTTCCCGGAAAAGATTATCTTCAAATCAAAGTAGGAAAAGTCTGCCCTCCCAGCCCAAATGATTTCTCGGAAACATCATCTAGTAAATCATTCTTTGTTGTGCATCTTTGTGTAGTATTCCCAAAATATTAATACACCTATACTAATACTGAGTTACAGAGTTGCTCTGTTTCAGTAAGCTGTTGACTTGGCCTCCCATTTCTACTTAGCCGCTCCGTCTCAGAAGTCAGAAGTGATAGTTCTTTCCTAGTCTGGTCATATGAAGATTGATGGTAGCGATCAACACTGTCAACTCGACGACGACGGGGACTACGTCGTGGTTGAGGAAGAAGAGCTTGCTCTGACTCTCGTCAATGCTAATGATCATCTTATTCTTCCCACCAAATTTGGTAATTGGCTCAGCCGCAAAGTCATCCGCCCCCTTCTCTTCACGCCCGCTTCTTCATCTTCATCTTCTTCGGAGTTGATTCTTTTCAGAGACAGTAGCAGCAGCGATTCTGGTCTGCGATCAAGCAAATACGACGTCTTCATCAGCTTCAGAGGAGTCGATGTTCGAAACTCCTTCCACAGCCACCTGCACTATCACCTCAACTGCTTAAAGAAACTCACCGTCTACAGTGACGACGCTGATCTGGAAAGAGGGCGGCATATCTCGCCGGATATCTTGCTAGCATTCGAGAGATCAGTGGTTTATATAGTGATTCTCTCCCCCAACTATGCGGGTTCTCCATGGTGCTTGGAGGAGCTCAAGAAGATCCTCCGGTGTAGGAAGTTGTACGGTCGGAGGGCTATACCAGTGTTCTACGGCGTTCATCCTTCGGATGTCGAGAAGCAAAAATTGCCCTCTACTACTACCATCGCCGCCGCGGCGAATGTTCAAAGCTGGAGAGATGCATTGCGTGAGATAGCCAGCCTCTCTGGATTCGACTCTCAGGTCATCAGGTATATTCCACACAGCCCACCATCATTCAAGTTACACTTTTTGTGTTATGAAGTACTTCACAATGTTTGGCTTGTGGGTTCTGCTTTATTCATCGATTTGCTGTTATCTATCTATGTGGACCTTATCAGTGGATCCACTCATTCATGTTGATCATTCACACCCAGTTTGGTCACTTGTGGTTGTGGAATTTAATCAACAAATCTTACTGTGTTGTGCATCTATCGATCTTGCTCGGCCAGACGAGAAACTGAACTCATAGAGGAAGTCACCAAAAATGTCTTCCAGGCAATACGCAGCAGCAGTGAGATGGTGAAGCTTTCATCATATTCTGCCAGCAGAGGTTTAGTCGGGTTAGAGATAAAAATGAAACAAGTTCAGCGGCTGTTGTGCTTTGCTGAGATGAGCAATCGGACGATAGGATTGTGGGGAATGGCCGGCATTGGCAAGACCGCTCTTGCTAAGGCCATATTCGACGAGTTCTCTTGTCAATTTGAGGCTTCCTACTTCTTCAGTAATTTTGCAGATGCATCACAACTTCGCAGAGATCTGCAAAGTGACTTTTTCTCGAAACTGTTGGGTGATGAGAGTGGTGGCAGATCAGCATTATCCTACGAGTTGACGCTTCATCGTCTTGGCCGAATGAAGGCTCTGGTCGTGATCGATGATATAGGCAACGATGTGGGCAACATAGGACCATTGAAGGATCTGTTAAATGGTCAGTACTGCGATTTGTTTGGTCCTGGGAGTAAGATCATCATGACAAGCAGGAATAAACAGCTTCTGAAGAGTGTGTGCCATCATGTATATGAAGTCGAGCCTTTAAACGATGTAGAAGCCTTTCAACTCTTCTGCTTGCATGCCTTCAGAAGCGATAACAGTCCCCAATCTGAATACATGGAGATGGCCTTGGCAGCTGCACATTACGCAAGTGGGAATCCACTAGCGATTACTGTGTTGGGCGCACACTTACATGGTCGTGATCTCCAGTTTTGGGATCGGGAGCTGAAGGCTTTGCACGGCAATCCAGATCCAGTGGTTGAGAACATCTTGAGAAGGAGTTACGTTGGATTGAGTCGAGCAGAGAAAGATGTATTTCTTGATCTTGCATGCTTTTACAATTACTGGTACCGTATGGAATTGAAGGAATGTGTGGAAATGTTGTCACCAGGTGGCACTGGCAACATCATTCCTAACCTTGTCGACAAGGCGCTTATAAGTATTGATATGAGTTTTGCTGACACAATAGTAATGAATGCTTTGCTAAAAGACTTTGGCCGCAGAATTGTCAATGAAGAGCGCCACATTGAAAAACGTTCGAGGTTGTGGAATGCAAAAGACGAATACTACCTCTTCAAGAAAAACAAGGTACGAGTCTTTAATTTTGAATGTGTTTTCAAGTTAAAAAAGCTATTGAAGAAGTGTGCGAGCCAAGTAACGTAGTTTGTTATTGTTTCCACTTTCCACTAAACAGGGTACTGCATCAATTGAAGGCATCTCATGGGTTTTTGGAGGTGACGAGGGATACATGCCACCTGAGACAAAGACATACATACAGTCTGACGCTTTTGTGAAAATGGAAAATCTGCGATTCCTTGTAGTTCATCTTGGTTTCTGCAATTTGATTCCGCCAGATGCCGGCTTGATATCCCTGCCAAATACTTTGAAGGTTCTTGAATGGCACTCATTCTCTTCGAAGTCTTTGCCATCCCAATTCTCTGCTGAACATCTAGTCATACTTAATCTGAAATATAGCAAGATCGAGCAGGTTTGGGAAGGTGATGAACTTATGGTACGTGTGTTTCCTCAACCCTGCCTGCATATTGAAAAACCAAAAAACACAATGACCAAGTATTTGCATTTCATCTCCCTCTAAGTTCCCTTTCGATCTACCTGCAGGATTTGGGGAATTTGAAGTACCTTTATCTTTGCCTATGCCGGAACTTGAGAAAGCTGCCTAATCTCTCAACAGCTAGAAGGCTCGAAAGAATCGAGCTTTTTGGCTGTGAGAGTTTAGCCGAGCTTCCCAAATCGATTTGGGATCTTCCCAAATTGGAATGGCTCGATGTGACTGGTTGCAGGAGCCTACAGTTGAATTACTTGGAATGTCCAGAACAGAGCACTGGTCTTGATTCTGTTTATTCTAGTTCCACGTCATGCTCATCGCCTATTTTGGAACTGGGCTTCGTTGACTACATGGAGTTGGCGGCAGTTCCATCCTCCTCCTCCATGGGAGATCTCACTCCGCTAACTCAATTGAACTTCTCCGGTTGCACAAGTCTAGCAAGCCTTCCTGATAGAACCTGAGATAAGGGTTCTATCGAGAATTGGGGATTTAGGGATTAAGAACAGAATTAGGGATTTGAGAAAGATAGATAGAGAATCGGCCTAGGCCTTTAGAGGGATTGAGAACGAGAATTGAGAGGATTAGGAGAATAGGGTTTAGGAAGGCTTTTCGTAATATTCTTCTTATTGATTATGAATGAATGACCAATTACATATTTATAGCGAAATACTAGAAAAACCTAATAGACTATCCTAATATGACTCAAAGACTAATAACCATATCTAGATAAATCCTAATAATATTAATATTGATAATTATGGTTAAACCTAAAAAGTAGGTTTCCATCATCCCCTTCCCCTTGAAAACCAACCTTGTCCTCAAGGTTGACCAACTCGACCCACTTCTTCCCATCGTTCGGCCAACCCGCGCATTTGATCCTCCATTTCTTGCGCTTTCTTTTCTTCCAATCGTGCGCCACTACTTGAACGCATCTCACACCAACAACCCAGACTCCCATTGCTTCTTCTATACTCACATGGCTCTTGTCACAACCCTGTCCAAATGACTCTCCTATCTCCTTTTCAAACTCTATAAAATAAGAGTCAGAGAGTTGTTCTTCCTTGAGCATATCTTCATTAGCCCCCGTGAAATACTCGATGAATTGCTCCCTTGATTCCCCCAAGGGCTTGGTGGTGAAGACAAATAAGCCTCCTGTAAGCCCATAACTCTGATTTGTTGATTCTTCCATTAGTTTTGGGCCTTGCTCTCCTAAAAGCCTATCAAATAAGCTTGCCAAACCATCTTCATTTTCCTCCCAGTCCACCCATGAAATAGTTCTGGTCGGCCCAATGCTCCATAAAAAATGAGGCTCACAGCTAATGGTGAAGCCCACTGCCTTTTCTAGGTTCGGGCCTTGCCACCGCCCTGGGTTGCCCCACTTTTCCACCAGATCCGGCCCACCACCTCTTTTCTTCTTTGACCAGAGAGTTAGCCCATCAGACTTAGGGTTAGGCCCGTGATCACTCTCAGGCTCAACCCACTTGTCTCCAAGTTGCAGCCCCCTTTGTTGAACAGTGAGGCCCAAGGCAAGCCCGCTCGGTCCGGCGGCCCACCCCGGCGCGCGGCCCACTTCCCGCTGTCCTGACCCGCCGACCCACATCCTTCGGGCCGAAGACTCGAACTGCTGCTGTTGCTGTGCAGCGCCCACCAATGCGCGCCGTCTAGGGTTTGCAAGAGGAGCGACATCGTCCCCTTCCCCTTCCTTCGCCGGCGGATCCCACTTCCTTGTCATCAGCTCCGTCGACGGCGATCCCCGAACACCGTGACCAGGCGACCAGTCTTCTCCGGCCTTCTTCTCCCTATCCTCCTTCCTTCCTAGCGGCGAGCGAGGGATCTCACCGCTCGTCCTTGAATTAATCTCTGCCGCCTCTCTCTCTTCTTCGCGACTCGGCGACGAACCGCCCAGTTGGCGGCACGGTGACGCGCGCGCTCCCCGTGACGACGACGAGATGACTCGACGACCCTTCCCCTGTCCTCCGTGGTGCCATCCATTGATTTCAGCTCCGACCTCCGACTTCCACTTCTTCTTCTTCTTCTTCTCAGAACCCCAACCATCTTCGGGTCCTTGGTTCTTCTTCCTGAACTTCCATGTCGAGACCCTCCCATAACCCGAGGCTCTATGTTTTGTAGGGATCTCAAAAAAAAACTCATAAGCAGCTGGGTTTTGCGGATGAGGGGCCTCGACTTTTGCCGCCCTGAAGTTGTCTTTGGCGGTGTTGGCAGGATTGCGTGGCTGCTCACTGGTGGAGAAAGATGGGTCATACGATTGGGGGACAGGTCGTCCTGCTGCAACCTTCAGGGGCTGTCGTTGCTGACCAAAACTCTGGAGGGCTACCTCTCCTTCTTCAACTGTGGATGGTGATGTTGCCGGGAAAACTGCAGCTGTTGTAGCTGCCTTTTCAGCCATCGGTGAGCTTTGACGTCGTAGTTTTGCCCGTAGCTGTTGGCCTTTGAGCTTAGCATCAGGTTCTCCTTCCTCGACAGCAGCTGGGATGAGTACACTGGTGATGCTGCTTGGGGTGGCAGCGGCGGAAGCCAGTTGAGGAGCTGCGCCGATTGAGCTGATTTCCACGGCGGCAGGAGCAAACTCCACGATAGCAGGAGTGTCTTTAATGGAGGCTGATGCTGATGAATCCTTCGACGTCGACTCTGGCTGGTTGCGGGTCGCACGACGGCGGGCTGCATAGCGCTCGAGTTTGACTTGAAGTTCCTTCAGTTCTGCTATCATATAGTCGTAGCGAGCTTCCCTCCTAGCTAAACTGGCTTGGAGAGCTTCAAACGTGTGATAGGGTTTCTGATAACAATTCCCTAGTGAGAGTTGTGATGAACTCAAATCCGTGACCATGGCTCTGATACCAATTGATAGAACCTGAGATAAGGGTTCTATCGAGAATTGGGGATTTAGGGATTAAGAACAGAATTAGGGATTTGAGAAAGATAGATAGAGAATCGGCCTAGGCCTTTAGAGGGATTGGGAACGAGAATTGAGAGGATTAGGAGAATAGGGTTTAGGAAGGCTTTTCGTAATATTCTTCTTATTGATTATGAATGAATGACCAATTACATATTTATAGCGAAATACTAGAAAAACCTAATAGACTATCCTAATATGACTCAAAGACTAATAACCATATCTAGATAAATCCTAATAATATTAATATTGATAATTATGGTTAAACCTAAAAAGTAGGTTTCCATCACTTCCCAACACCATCCACAAGCTATCCAACTTACAAACCCTCAACTTGCGCCATTGCCATCAATTGATTCGTTTACCAGGCCTTCCTTCATCCTTGACAGATTTGGATGCAAGTGATTGCACATCACTTCAAACCTTGTCGATTGACAATATTCTTGAGAATCATGATTTATCCAAGATAAGCAGATGGGACTTTAGCCAGTGCTGGAAGCTGGATCCGGTAGTGTGCAGTAAGCTTGTGGACAAGGTATGTACGTCGATCTCTCGCTCACTCTCTCTCTAACAACCGGATTACTATCAATGATTAATGGTTGTATTGCTGATGCAGTTCACTCAGGATTGGGTTCGAAACTCCGGCTTCCCATGTATCAGACCGTCACGCCTCAGACTCCCGGGGAAATGGGATATCAAGAGTGCTGGTGAAGGAGGAAGCATAATGGGATGTAACACTAACAACGATGATAATAATAATGCAATGGCGACAGCACAGCTACGTGGACAACCTTGGAAGCTCAAGGCGCTAGTTTTATGTGCTTTACTCGACTACCGACCCCTTGCTGATTACTTCGAGTGTCAAGTTGACTGCGTGTTGCTCAACAATGGTGTCGAAGTTGCTGTGAGCTCATGCAATTTGACTTGTTGTCCATCATACGAGGATCATGAGGATGAGGAGGAGCATCTCCCAAATGGTCACATTTGGGTATGGTTCACTAACGACTTGGATAAAATGAGGATGATACAACAATTCGCTGACAAAGAGGCTGATCATCCTGGCGGCACAGCTGAATTCTTGTTTCGTAGCTTGTATTGGCCGGGCAAAATACCCGAATTGACGAAGAATTGTCGGGTGATTCCGATTTACGACGACAGAGTTTTGACATATGAAGATGAAGAAGAAGAAGACAATGATCGATCTCCAAACAACGTCATGGGATTATATGATAAGTTGCGCACTGGCCAGTGCAAGTACTTCAAAGGTATTTAAAGGATCGAAAGTTACAACTAGCTAGCTACTTTATCAAGTCACTCATGTGTTATGTTACCTGAAAATATTAATCCCTTATACGTGAAAAGAAAGGTTCTGAATGGCGCTCCTGTCTTCTGCCTGCTCCTTTGTTCCTCAGATACCAGCAAAAGGACGCAATGCCGAACAGCTCCACCGTCGCCTAGCTCGGGCTCCTCTCAACAGACTCCTCCTTCCGCCATCAGTCACCACACCGACGGTTACCAGATTCACCCCGTTCCAACCCCTCCGCCTTCTCCATGAGCATAAAGGAGTTCAGCAAGCACCGCTCTCTGCTCAATGATACCCGACGGCATTGAAGTGATTTCCTGTAACTGTCCTTCCTTCTGGGTTCGTCTCACCAGCAGCCTGTACAGCTTGCTTGTTGTTATCTGCCTTCATGTTTTAGCTGGTGGGGAGGTTGATTTGGATCATACGTGTTTTGATTACCAGTGGTCTTGTGTTCTATTGGAATATGTGAATAGATGGTCTCGTCTCATTTCATGAAATTATACTGTATGGACTTATCTCATTCGATTCGAATGAGGATATCACGTTAATCATCGTGTTCTTGTCTTCTTTTGTTGATTTCGTCACCCTTGATTGTCCTTTTTTTTCTTTCTTTTTTATTCTGTTGTTGAACCTCTTCTGGCTACCAATGGCCTGTTGGGGTGTTAATCCTTCTAGCATGCCTGATCTTAGAGAAAACTGAGCTGCACTGCGCCTTCAACTCTGTATTCCGGTAGATGGGTCAATAAATTGCTTAAAAACCCATGCTATGGGGCCTTGCTCCTTTGCTTCAACTTGCATCATTCATCTTATGCCCAAGAAAAAACGTGTATGATCATTCCATTGCTGATCTGATGTTTCACCCTCACGGCCTCACCCCACGTGCCAGCTACATGGACCCCAAAAAAACAGGGCATAGAAAATATGCAGAATGGGAATGCCAAACCTCATGTGGAGAAGTTGTGTGAGGTGAAATTGGTTGTCCCACGGAGGTCACAAATATTTGAAACTTTGTTGTGTCAATCGACTCTTTTTACCATTTTTATCATATATTCACTTATAAAAATCTTTAAAATTTTTCTCTCCAATTTCATTCCGCTTAAAAAATTTCTCCGCACCAAGGTTCTTCGATAAATGATAAACTATGATTTTGATATTGTTTACCGTAATGTATTCACCAATAAATAACCTTTTTTTTTTACAAAAGATAATCATTTATATTGATTGAATTAATAGATCAATACAATCTGGAAGTTAACCAGGCCAAAAATCAAAGAAACGACATGTAGTCGGATACAAAAAAAGGGCCTTTCGAGCCACCAAATGAGCTACCCTATTACTTCTCCTACCTACAAATCACACATTAAACCCAGAGTGCACAACCAAAAAGCGTATGACTTCCTCAAGGATGACCCCCATCCGATTATCCTGGGTACTTGCCTGATTTATTTTATCAATGACCACCTTGGCGTCGCCTTCCAACCTTGTCTCCGTAAACCCATCCTCCGGAAAGGATACAAAGGAATTTTCTGTGGAATGGAGCTGGGGAAAGCAACAAAATGGCTCTCGTGGGATGGAAGTTATGCAAAGCTGAAAAGAAAACAGGGGGATTGGGAATCCATGATTTGAGGGCTTTCAACGATGCGATGTTATCTAAGTGGTTGTGGAGGTATGCAGTGGAGAGGGAGATGATTAACATGAAATATCATGGCTCGGCTTCTATTTGGCAGACCCCTCAGGCTACTAGGGGTTTCTCCCACTCTATTTGGGCAAATATTTCCAAGGAGTACGATAATTTCTGGAAGTGTGCTAGTCTGGATCCTGGTAACGGTACTCAAATTTCATTCTGGTATGATCCTTGGATTCTGGGCATCTTGTTGTCTACAGTCTTTCCCCGCGTTGCAGCAGCCGCTTCGGATCCTCTTGCTACACTCGCCGACACTGCAATCCTCAATGGAGAGGGGGTAAGTTGGTGTTTGAATCTTAAATTTCCTTTACGGAGTGGGGCTGAGAGGGAGCGATTGAATTTAGTCAATTTGATTGAGTCCACTGATTTGGTTAGAAATATCTGTAGCCCTTGTAGAATGGTTTGGAATCCTGATCCAAATGGCAAATTTTCTATGAGTTCTATGTATAGGAACTTGGTGAGGGAGAAGTTTCCTGGTTTGCCAGACTTCCCAAATAAACAGGTATGGAAGACGGTGGTGCCGAGAAAAATATGCTTCTTCGTGTGGCTGGTGTACAATAACAAGATTCTCACTCTAAATAATCTTATGAAGAGGGGTTGGAGTATTGCCAATAGATGCTCTTTGTGTCAACGCAATGAAGAAACTGTGGCCCATTTGCTTGTGAATTCTGATTATGTCAAGGATGTTTGGAGAAACATTTTTGGTAACAGGTGGATGGTGCGGAATCAGGCAAGGGAGACCACTTGTATAATCAAAGAGTGGCAATCAGGGAACCAGGGCAACATTGATTCATGGTTCAGAGAATGTATTCTCCATGCGGTTTGGTGGGGCATTTGGCTTGAGAGGAATCAACGCATGTTCGAAGACATATGCCTACCTGCTGCTGTGGTTGCTCGGAGGGTAGCGAAGAACGCGATAGAGTGGATTACTTCGCAAGGAAAGGTACAAGCTGATCAAGGAGTAAGGTGGCTCAGAGAAACCGTGCCTGGATTGTGAGAGTGGTGGTGGTTCTTCGAGGGACGTTTGGGCATTTGAGTGCGGTTGAAGACTGGTTGGTTTCTGCTATTTCTGGCTTTCTGAGCTTTCTGTGGTCTGCGTACAGTCCCGGGTTGAAGTCTTTTTGGTTGCTGCTTGCTTGGCTCTGTCTCTGTTTTGTCTGTGTCATTGTGTGATGTTTCTATTTGCAGTGGGTTTTGAGCAGGGGCCTCTCGGCTGGCCCAGCTCTTCCCCACTTTTGTATATGCTTTCTTTCCTTTTCCTTTTCCTTTTCCTTGTGTTTTGCAGTGTGCACTCCTTGTGCAACTGCTTTCTCGACTGTGGGTTCGGAACACTTGTGTTGATCTTTGTTTGTTTTCTTTAATAAATCTTCACCATTATAAAAAAAACCATTCTCCAGACACCAGAGAATTGCCTCTCGGAGAATGAGGAGCTCGACTACCATAGGATTATTAATATCAGCAAACTGCACCCCTTTCACCAAAAATGACCATCCCCTCATGGTTCTTGACAATTATGTCATCTGCCGAATAAGATCCATGATTGGTATCCCCATCCCACATGCAGATCACTGGACTAGGATTGCCACCACCAAGATAACTCACTTGTGGGACGAACGATCTGACCACACGGTCAACTGGCAGGCTAATCCACTCCGGATACTGCTTGTGGTATTGTTCAATAACACTGAGATCCCAAATTGTTTGCCCTCAAAGACAATCTAGTTATGAGACTGCAAGATCCACCAAAGGACCGCAACAACTGTCATGAAGATTTAAGGTTGCTGTATAATATCCACAACTTCTTCAGGAAGAGCGAGAAAGTGTGACGGGCAATTCAGAAACAAATGTTCCATTGTCTCATAATCTGCCCAATAAACCGAGCACCTAGGCTGAACCGGAACATCCTTCTCAATGAGCCATAAAACATCTTTAATTTGGGTGGAATATGGGCTTCCCACAAGTCAATCCTGCTCGACATGTTCATCCAACTAGCCGTGGACCGCCATCGACCAACCTACTTATCTAACAAGACTGCGAGGTGATAGGCCGACTTGACAGTGAAAACCCCATCGCACGTGTTATGCCAGATCAACCTATCCTCAACATCCTACTGCGGAAGAGAGATAGTCTTGATGGCACGAGACGTGGCTAGGTCAAACCACTGGCCGAGTTTGATATCACACCACCTGTCCTCCCCTTGGCAAATCACCTACATCACCTTCGGGTCTCCATCCCCGGGCATCACCTGAGGATTATACAAAGGAGTATGGGGGTGTAGCCGAGGGATCCAATTTGAGGAAAGCATTGAGGCTGTTCGCCCGTTACCTATCTGCCATTTGAGACTCTGCACTAACAACTGTCTACTATAAAGGATGCTCTGCCATCCCCAAGATGGACGAGATCGCGCAGTAGCAGTGAGGAAAGTCCTAGTCGGAAAGTATTTCCCCTTGTACACTTGGGGAAAGTATTCACTAAATAACTTGAGTGGTTTAAAATGTCAAAATTAAACTAAATTTTGCATACACCATAGTTAAAAATTGCCCTTTTTATGATTGAAGTGGAGGGAAGAATGTGTTCAAAGGGAGGAGACTTTTTAATCAAAACCTACGACAATCTGTATGGGCCAGCCTCCAGGAGTCTAACGCATCAACAACATCACCTACAATCTAATTCAAAACGAAATAAAATCTTATCACGTGAACGAGGGTATGATTTAGCAGTATCGTCGTTGATTTTCAATGTCAAGGTTTCAAGTTCAAATCCTAAGTTAGACTTTCCCTTCTTGTACAAATATATGGCTTCATCCTCTTGCTTGATCGGTATGAACGACTTAAGGGATCGTTTGCTTCATAGATTTGAAAAATAAGAGTTTTGATAAATTCTAGGTTTTGGAAAACCTTAAATTTATGATGGATTTATTTCCATTATGGATTTAAGAGAGTTTTACTTGATTTGATTATGAATTTTGCTTGATTAGATAATGTATTTATGGCCATGCTCTAAATCCCGCGTCTTGATATGAGATTTGTAAGTTCATAGGGCCATGAATTTGGACCATTTAAAGACAATATACCCCATTTATTGGGTAAAATACCTCGGGTACCACTAAAGTTTGAAAATTGGGGCAGACATACCACTTAAGTTTGAATAGGGCGTCGGGTACCATTAAAGTCGTAAAAATGTGCATACGTCTAGTTTTCCATCCAACCCAAAATTTTAATTACTTTTTGGTACCCAAAACTTTTAAAAACATCCAAAACTATATTTCAACAAGTTTTTATCTAATATAGAAATTAAAAAACCTTCTAAACATAATATTCTAAAGTGACTAATCAAAATTGTCAATAAAATAGATAAATTAGTAAAAATAATAAAAAAATATCAAGAAGAAGAATAAATATATAGAATATAATAATAAATATTTAAAAATAATATTATAAGATTTATTTAAATCGCTAATCCAATTAGAAGTACTATTAAAAATATTTAAAATAGAACCTAATCAATCATCAATACATCAGGACCAAAGAATGATAAATGAAACACAGTCAGAAAGAATTAAACATATTCCAGTAATTGTAAAAAATTTAGAACGAAAAGAGAGGAAGTAACCAAGTAATAAATAAATAAAATCTACAATATTCTGTAACAAATCTAGAAAAGAAAATACGACTATAGGAAGAGAATTAGAATTAGTAAATTTAATTAATATGGAACATCTAAAATATAATATTAGAAAATTACAAGAATATTTAACATAGAAAATTACACAACATCAGCATGATGTACGAGAATTAAATATTATATCCTAGATTATTTATATCGATATAGAATTCATAGGATATATTTGATTCAACAAATTATTCAATTATTATAACATATAATGGTAATTGAATAATTGATTCTACATTTCCCATTCAAAAATTGGTTTGATATCAAAGTCTTCAAATGAGAATTCCAACTAATCAGAATTCATAGGATATATTTGCTTTAGAGAATAATTCAATTATTAGAAAACATAATGATAATTGAAAATAGGGGTGGAAGTTTGGTTTGCGGGTAACCCGCAAACCGCATCAAACCGCACACTTTGTGGATACCCATACCCACAATTTGTGGATAGTGAGTTGGGTGTGGGTAACAAAATATTGATTTTTGTGGTTAGTGGTTAACCACTACCCACAACGGTTTACCCACAAAACCCACATTAACCACATCAGTTATATTTATTTCTTCAAAATACTTTGTAACCCACATTAACCACATAAGTTATATTAGTTTGTCAAAATTGGAAGACTAAGGATTAAAGTAGCTACCCAAATCAAATACACACCTATCTTATAAAACAAAACCAACTCAATACGCAATGTTCATGTGAGATATTTTTATCAAATAAACATTATTCGTATGTGATATGTTTATTTTATAATAAAACCAAGTCCATAGATATAGTCAAATAAATTAATCGATTTGTTAAAAGAGGGGAATAGTCGATAAAGGTTAGTCCGATACCCAAACTCATCTCCATTTTTCCAAGAACTCACGAACAACACAACATGCAACTAGCTACCAACAATACAATATTATAATCGAGAGTGGAGAATAATCTATTCAATAAAAGCGGTCCCCTCCACTTATCAAGCGATTTTTGTGTTTTATTGTTGTTGCCATCGGAGGAGTCGTGACATGCAACGATGTTTGTCTGGTAACAAGTCACTCCGCCTCTCCGTTATCTTCAAATCTCTTTCCAAATCCATCTCTTCTGAATTTACACTAACTAACTTATTGTATTCGAGATTTATAATTTATTTAACACTTTATTAACTTTCTTTTACGTATGTTGTTGTTTTTGTTTGAGAATAAACACAACATCACTATTTAATTACCATAATATTATATTTAAAGTGAAATTTTTGTGGGTATCCACAACCAATCCGCACCAACCCGCAGCGGGTAGTGGTTAACCACTACCCACTGCGGGGCGGGTTGTGGGTAACATAATTCTATATTTGTGGGTGTGGTTACCCGCAAAATGTGGGGCGGGTAACTAGGGATGGCAACAAAACCCGAACCCACGGGTACCCACCCAACACAACCCGGTCAACGCGGGTAAAATCCGTGTTGACGGGTTTTGGGCCGGGTTTGGGTTTAAACCCGTTCACTATTCAACGGGTTGGGTTTGGGTTTAGGTAAACTCGGCCCGTGGGTACCCGCTCACCCATACAATTAACTTTTTCGGTATATTTAATATTCTAAACAACTAATCTTATTTATGTTTGTGGAGACATGTCTAATTTTTTCTTTTTAATTGTGTAGAATGAAGTTGATGTTATGGAGTGGAGAGTAAAAAAACTTAATTGAAAGGAAGAAGCTTTCAATTAAACATGTTATTTATGGATAATTTGTGATTTGCTTCAATTTTCTTGAGTTTTCTAGATTGGTGTTGAACAATTTGTATAGTTAATTTGTGATTTGCTTGAATTTTCTAGAATGGTGTTTTATATATGGATAATTTGTATTAAGATATTGATATTTGACTTTAATTTTGATAAGAATTTGTAATTGTAAATTTTTTACGACAAAACCCGTGGGTACCCATGAACCCGCGGATACCCAACGGGTTGGGTTGGGTTTGAGTTTTTCAAACCCAGTGGGTTTTACCCCGGGTTTTTTTCAAAGATAAACCCATGGGTTTGGGTTTGGGTTTGGCAAAACCCGACCCAACCCGACCCATTGCCATCCCTACGGGTAACCACACCCACCCCAATTTCCACCCCTAATTGAAAATACTTATAATGATAGTTGATTCTAAATTTTCTATTCAAAAATTAATTTGGTATCAAGTCTTCAAAAGTGGATACCAACTAAATAATAAAAATTGATGTTTTTCATAAGTCAAAATGATTTTTTACAATAAGAAAAGTAGAAGGACCAATTAAGAAATTTAGAAAACAGAATATTCCAAGAATATTCTGTTAACTTTAACGGAATACACCTAACATTAAACTTAAGTGGTACCGGGTGCACAAATAATAGAGTTTAGTGTTACCCGACACTCTTTTCAAACTTAAATGGTATGTCTGCCCCAATTATCAAACTTAAGTGGTACCCAATGTATTTTACCACCATTTATTTGATCCCGAGCGAACCTTAGGAAAACAACGATTTCGTGCAAAGTACACGATGAATCGAATTTGATATCAAAATCTACAAAGCAGAATGACCCCTCGATAGTGATGAAGCTATCACAGATTTTGATGGGAGTGGTGCCTACCAATCAAATTACAACAGATTTTGATCCACATACACAAGAAAATATTGAATTGAAATAACTCGTATTTGAATACAACAACTTCGCATTCAGAGTTGATCCTCCGACGCTAATGTTAGCGACATTTTAACCGACGGGAACATGAAAAAAAATGAGATCTAACACCTACTTTCTCATCTTGTTTCCTTATAAAGTGAGTGAGTAGAACTAACTACACTCTTCAAAATACATCTCCATTTACACATAGAGCTAAAGAGGTAACGCCTTGTTGTATACAATTATTATATGGAGCCAACAAACCAATTGTTCATGAGTTGACACAAGAAAACAAAAATCATTGAGCTAGTTGCTACTCGATGGACCATATTCCCTTATAATAGCTCCACCACCACTGCTAAATTAACTACCATTTATTTCATTTCTATCCAATTCCCTGCTCCAAATTCATGCCTGCCTTTCTCCCATCTCTACATATATATACGTATATCTCTCAGTTTGTCCCTTCCTTCCTACAAAAACATGGTGAACACGACGCTGGTTTGCCAGACCGTTATCCGATGGCTACTGCGCCTCTTCGCCGCGACCCGACCCGAACCGGTCGAGGTCGAACCGGGAACAGTCATCAACATCTGGTCCCCGTCATCCGGTCCAACCAACGAAAACAAGAAACCGGCGCTGGTCTTCCTCCACGGGTTCGGGTTCGACGGGATCCTGACGTGGGCTCTCCAAATCCCGGCCTTCGCCAAACACTACTCCGTCTACGTCCCGGACCTGCTGTTCTTCGGCGGCTCCGTCACCGACCGGCCGGAGCGGACGCCGGCTTTCCAGGCGGAGTGCGTGGGGAAGGCGCTGAGGAAGCTCGGGGTGGAGAGGTGCACGGTGGTCGGGTTCAGCTACGGCGGGGCGGTCGGGTTCGAGTTGGGCGGGTTGTTTCCCGGGATGGTGGAGTCGTTGGTTCTGACCGGGTCGGTTATGGAGTTCACCGAGTCGATTCGCAGAGATGGGTTGGGCCGGATCGGGTACGAGACGTGGGCGGAGTTTATGTTGCCGAAGACTGTGGAAGGTGTGAGGAGCTTGTTGGGGAATATTATTTACGATCTGCCGTGGTTGCCTAATCGCTTGCTCAAGGATGCTTTGGAGGTAATTAACTAACTAACTAACTAATCAATAGTCTAGTCGTTTTGATTTGTAGGTGGTTTTGGGCGTAATATTTGTGATGGGGTATTTGAATCTAATTATCTAAATACCATACAATTGACACGTACCATTATATTTGTTGTTTAGACTTTAGCCTATTCTGAAATAATCTAGTCATTTTTATTTATATATAGGTGGTTTTGGGTGTATTATTTGTGATGGGGTATTTGAATCTAAATACCACTCACGTGATACTATATATACATGTTATCTAGAATGTGATATTTTTCTCAGATGTTTGGGAAATATTAGATATGGCGGAATTGATAATGTGGTATTTTGATTTAAATTTGGTTAAGTGTCATTTCGCCTTAAAAACCAAATCTCAAGTTGGATATTTTCTGATATAATTAAATAAGTTCGCGAACGGTACGGTAGCTATGAATATGATACCCATGGTTTTACCATCCCTATTTACCAAAAGTATATACTAAGATGACATCATGTATTTGAATGAAAATAAAAGATAGAAGAGGACATAATGGTATTTTTCATAATACAAACCACAACCCCTAATATTTCTAAAACCCACATTTGTAACATTGTGAAAATACCAAAAAATGAAATACAATATTTATTTTTGGTCATTCAACCGTGATCGACATTTAAGATAAAATACCACATTATGTGGTGTTTGGCCACAAATACTACATTCAAATGACTCATTAGTTAAAGTCGAGAATCTACATATTATTATATGGTATTTTATCATGTAATATGGTGTTTGACTCTAAATATCACATTCAGACGACTCATTAATTGAAGCCGAATGAATGTTGTTCATGTGATTAATTAATTAATAAAGATGAAAATTGAGGGGCCAAAACTCAAAGTTGAAAACCGTAGTAGCTAGGTAGTGTTTTCAACCAAGGGTTCGTTGAATTTGGTTAGGTCGGAGGCATGCTGCACAATTTACAAACATTGGTCCTTATGAGTTATGACCCCAATCACATACTCAATCATCACCGTAAGGCTGGAAATTGTCATAACTCGTCATTAACCTTGTCTGACACTCTGACTCGTCTTTTAAGAGTGTACGTAGGCACCGGGTCGGACCGCCCACGGGCTAGCACGACACGACACGGTTAGAGCACGCTACGAGTACGGGCACGAAATAAATGGGTCAGCCCGGCACGAGCACGAATAATTTATGGGCCGTGTCAAGCCTAAACTTCATGGGCATGGACACGGGCACGACATGGTATATAAGTGGGTTGTGTCGGGCATTATGTTTTTGAGACTTTATTGAGTATAAGAACGGACATGACACGAAAATAATATTTATTTGATAGAAAATAAATATAGAAAGAATTATAGGTTCAAATATTACAAAATACAAATAGAAAAATAATTATTTGTGGTTGTTAAAAGTGTCCTAAGGATATATATGTAATTACTACCATAAGTAAAAACGGACAAATAATTAAACAAAGTCAAATCATACTCGCTATGCTTCCAATTTTCTTTTTTCCCTTTTTGTTACTTTTCTAAAAAATTCTCGGTTAATACTATCTTTATCCATCAAATTTCCACCTTCTTTTCCATTCTCTCTTTTATTTTCTTCATTTTCATTAAACACGAATACGAACACGACACAAACACGAATAGGCACGGCACGACACGAAAACTGACGGGTCGTGCTAAGCACGACACGAAAAAAATCGGCCCGGAGCGGTACACTCAAGAGTCAAGATGTATAGCTGAATCATCAGTTCCACGTTATTGTAATACCCACCATACAAAAAGACCCCACGATTCAACGTTCGTGGGACGTATATAGGTTGCATATTATTAAGCATTACTATAGACCGTACTCGACCTCCAACTACTATGAATTTATGATACACATGGCGACTGCAGTAGTGCTTCCATGTTTTACACGTAGTGGAGTGGTGGTTAGAACTTAGACTCAATGGACGTGACGAGTAGCTATAGCTAGCTGTACAACGTACAATAACGTTTGCATGTGGTGCCGTGCGGTTGCTGCAGGTTTTGTTCGAGCACAGGAAGGAGAGGGCTCAACTTCTGGACGCACTCTTCCTCGGCGACAACGACGTCGCTAAACCGGCCAGCTACTGTACTCAGGTAGGTAGGCCCTTTTACCGTACGTAAATTTACTGTTTCTATCTGTATTTGTCGGTTATTCATGTAGAGGTTGAGATTTGCCGGTTTTTGACGGATTTTCGTCGTAATAGTAAAAAAAAAAATATGGTAACAAACAGAATGCGTCGTGTTCTAGCTAGCTGCATGGTTCTGCAGAATCTGCAGACAGCAGCAGGGGCGCATAAAGATGATTCATGATCATGCCACCGCGCGGCCGTATGGAATTCGTGGATCGAATTCCATGGCATTCAGGGCCCCTGTTATAAATATAAGGATGCCCAACTTTCATATCCGTTGACATTTATTACTTGTTATTTCCATGATATGGTATACATATATACTTCATCTACTATATAATAATTTCCTCTTGAGAAATACTGTAGTAATTTGAACTATTGGAACTTGACATGCTCCGAGAAATATTGTATCGAGAGTTCTTGTATAAATTAGAAAGACATTAGGTTTTATTTTTTAACGATGGTATAAAATGAGGTGGAGAATTTTATTAAATGTTATTAAATATTAGTTGCCACATTGGTTAATTACGAGAGTTGATGAAAATGGACGGAGATTGATCATTGATGAAATTAGAGTATAAAATTGATGAACACAAATGAAATAAAATATATTAAGTGAAACAATTTACTAAATTCGGTGACCATACTTGCAATTTACCCTTTAATTTTTTAATATAAAATTTGTAATGTGCATATACGATGCCCAGTAATGGAGCCACAAGACAACCCACAAATATGGGGGGGAAAAATATTAGTAATGACTTGCAGGCAGTGAGAGTGAGTGTCAGACAGGGGACCTCCATGTTAGCCGACAACATTTTTACCACAAAATTAAATTGACATTTTTTTGTGATGGATATGTATAATAACATTTTCGGTAAAATATCTCGGGTATCATTTAAATTTGAAAATTGGGGTAGACATACCACTTAACTTTAAATAGAGTGTCGGGTACCATTAAAGTCGTTAAAATGTGCATCCGTATGCTTTTCTATCCAACCCAAACTTTTATTTACTTTTTGATACCCAAAACTGTGCCTACGGTGACATGCATGTCACCGTGACTTGCACTTTCCGGTCGACCTCAGTTAGGATTAGGTCGACCTCATTTAGAATTCGGTCGACCTCATATAGGATCTGGTCGACCTCATTTAGGATTCGGTCGACCTCATATAGGACCAGGTCGACCTAATATGTTGTTTCAGTGTAAAAACAGTTCATGGTGCCTACTTTGGATATTCATATCATACAATTGGCTAGATGGAAATTGAAGACTAATGACTTGTTTTGAAGCTGGAGTGTCCCTCTACATATTGAAGTGATTGAGAGCTCGATAGGAAGTCCAGAAGACCATTTTTGAACCTCATCAAAAGGCTATGCCAAAACTGGAAAACTGCCTAGAAATGGCTAAGTCTGGAAACGTGTTTGTGAAGCCTATTTTGGAGCTCAATTTGAGAAGCATGAATGCGAGTCGAGTCCAAGAGCCTCTACCACGTTAAATTAGGTATGTTTTTATACAAATTCAAGGCATTGGATGAAAGATTGGATATCTGTAATGCTTCAAACAAAAGGGTCGAAGTTGCTACGAAGGCTGTTTTTCTGGCAGACTACGAGCACAAGCAAGCTGCCAAAAAACAGCCTTCGTAGCAACTTCGCGCCTTTTGTTTGAAGCCTTAAAGATATTCAATCTTTCATCCAATGCCTTGCCTTTACATAAAAAAATACGTAATTTAACGTGGTAGAGGCCCCTAGACTTGACTCGCATCCATGCTTCTCAAATTGAGCTCCAAAGTAGGCTTGACAAACACGTTGCCAGACTTGGCCATTTTCAGGCAGTTTCCCAGTTTTGGCATAGCCTTTTGGTCAGGTTCAAAAATGGTCTTCTGGACTTTCTATTGAGCTCCCAAGTACTTTAATGTGTAGAGGGCCACTTCAGCTTCAAAACAAGCCTTTAATCTCCAATTTCCATCTAGCCAATTGTAAGATATGAATTTCCAAAGTAGGCAGCATGAAACTGTTTTTACACTGAAACAACAGATTAGGTCGACCTAATCCTATATGAGGTCGACCGAAAAGTGCATGTCACCGTGACATGCATGTCACCGTAGCAAAGTTCAAACTTTTAAAAACATCAAAAATCACATTTCAACAAGTTTTATCTAATATAAAAATTAGAAAACCTTCTAAACAAGTATTACTAGAATGACTAATAATTTTTTTTCAATAAAATAGATAAATTAGTAAAAATATTTAAAAATTATAAATACACTAGAAGATAAAAAAATATTTAAAATTAATATTAGAAGAGCTATTGAAATCCGTAATTCAGTTAGGAGTACCATTAGAAACCGTTAAAATAGAACATAATCGATCATCAATACATTTAGACATAAGAAGGATAAATAGAATATAAGCAGAAAGAAAGAAATATATTTCATTTATTGAAGAAAAAAATAGAACGGAAAAAGACAAAAAGTTAAAAAAATAATAAATAAATTATAAAAGCTACAACATTCACTATCAAATATAGATAAGAAAATACGACTATAGGAAAAGAGTTAGAATTAGTAAATTTAACTATTATGTAACATCTATAATATAATACTATAGAATTAAAAAGAGATTTAACATATCAAATTAGACAACATAAACATAATGGAGAGAACTAAATATAACATCTTCAAATTATTTATATCGACATAGTACTCATAGGATATATTTGGTTCAGGGAATAATTCAATTATTAGAACATATAAGGATAATTGAAAATACTTAAAATGAAAATTAATTCTAAATTTTATATTCTAAAATTAATTTGGTATCAAGTTTTCAAAAGAGGATTCCAACTAAACAATAAAAAATGATGTTTTTCATAAGTCCAAATGATTTTTTTACAATAAGAAAAGTAGAATGACCAGTTATGAAATTTAGAAAACAGAATATTTCAAGAATATTCTGTCAACTTTAACAAAATGCACATAGAAGCAAACTTAAGTGATACCGGGTGCACATATAATAGAGTTCAGTAACATGCCCTATTCTTATTTAAGTGGTATAGCTCCCCCAAATCTCATACTATAGTAGTACCTGAGATATTTTACCCTAACATTTTGTAATTTATATATAACATTTAGTTGATTTATACTTGAAAATTTAAGATTACATCGAGCTCTTCTGAATCCCAACTTCCACAACCTACTCAAATCATCCTACACCCTTGTTCCCGCAACCTCCTCAAAATTGAGTTCTTCAGTTGTTGACTTGATTGATGATGCATAATATTATAAAAAAAAAGAAAAATATTATTAAAACTTGCTACGTTCCTTATCCTAACGAGTTTTCCAAAATGATATTTTACATCTAAACTTTCATCAATTAGATGAGAGGTTTGCATGATTCAAGACAATTGCTAAACTTTTTTATAGGAAAACGATTGTGTTAGAAAGACATAATTTTCCATCAGTGTACCAACTTTTGAAGTTTGGCACTGTTGCTACTTATCATTTGTGCAAGTGTTAAAAGAATGTTTTATGCAATGAACTAATTGAAGCACACATTTCGGAATCAGGTGAGTGATGAACCAATGATTTTTTGATAGTATCCATAGACAACAATATCATTGATAGTTTCAATGTATTTTAGATATTTTTCATAATATGAAAAACATGTATTGTACAACATTAAAAAATCTTCTTTTAATTTCAGACCTGCCCTACCTAAATTCTTGTCTACATCACCGATAATAGCTGCAATGGTCATCATCTAATTTTTAAATTTCATCATTAACACTGCTCATATATTGTATGTGTATTTTTGTCCACCAACAGGAGATTAATTTCATATGGGGAGAAGAAGACAGACTGATAGACATTCAGGAGGGATATGACCGAATCAAGTATGTTATAATTAATTTCTTAATTGATATACATATATATCTTATTTTTTTGTTTCCACTGTCCAGCAATACTTTAATACTCCATTTACTTAATTCCAGGATGTTTCTCTAGCTAGCCAAGTGATTAATGATTAATTATGTTGGTTTGACGATATTTTTGTAGGCTGCTGTATGGGAAAGCAACCTTGAAGTCGATAAAGAAAGCAGGGCATCTGGTGCAAGTTGAGAGACCATATCTTTACAATAGGATCTTGAAAGACTTGCTCCTTTCTTTGCATCAAGGAGGCTGAAGATTGAATCTCGGAGGTTACAATTGTAAAATTTGTTTCCCTTTCTACTGTCTTCGGAAGATGTTATTAGGATACCTTTCTCGACCTTTTAGCTATAATCAAGTGTAGAAGACATTATTAGTGAGAAAATAATAAGCGAAACACTCCTATTGTGTGGGAAGCATAACTAGATTGTGTTCTATTTTAAACTAGTCTAAATTATGGTTTATGTGATTTACCAATTTATTCTAATGGCTAAAGGTTTTTTAAATTTCTAGTTAGTATGATGAGTTGACATGATTATGTCTTCCCTTCTAAAGTATTATTGGTTCTTAGCGTATGCCATTAATTTAGATTTATTTATCATATTTTGTAAGATAATGATATAAAATTTATAGTTAACCTTTTTATCAATAATTTGATTTAAACTATTTATCACATATATATTGACCTAATTAATCTATTTCTCAATCAAACTATGGACGACTCAAACATTTGAATCTTAGTACCTGATCTAAGCAATTGTTGCATGTTTCTAGATTAATGATGTGAACTCTTGGTGATATATATTTTTTTTATTAATAAGTGCTAATTAAATAGTCTTTGTGCTTTAATCAACTGTTAATATTGGGAGTCGTGGAGATTCGAACGCACGACCACTTGGCCAAATCAGTTATGATATCATGTCATAAACTAGTTGGTCCCAATAATTCGAGTTGTTGGGAGAAAGTTATAGCATATCTTATACTCCTTTATGTTTGTTTTTATAATTTATACCTCTTCCAAAGTGAAGACAAAGGAGAAATTGTAATTTCTCATTTTTTTGTTGATCCTTCAATTAATTAAGGACGAAAGAGGATAAATCTGTCTACTTGGCACCTTAAGTGGCTTAGTCAGACATGTGATGTTAACAATGTTAGCATCAGAACTTACGAGGACTTCTACTATGCTATATAGTATTGGTGTTTTAATGTACAACTTGAAGTTGTATCATAACGTTAAATGTATAAAGTTCAAGTTGTACCATAAAGAAATTTGTACAATTATGTTATGGTACAACTTCACAACTTGAAGTTGTAGCATCACATGAATGTACAAGTTCAAGTAGTACCATAAAAGAATTTGTACAAAAAGTATAGGTACAATCTGTAGTTGTACCATAACGTTAAAAGTACAATTTTAAGTTGTACCATAAAAGCAAAAACCTATAGCACTAATACTATATAGCATGGTAAAATTCCTCCCGAACTTACTTGTTACACATATATAGTATAGGGGCTTTAGTGCTATTATCCCTTATAAGGCAAAGAAATGACGTCGTTTTGGTAAATAGCTCGTTTTGCGTAGACTTGCTGTTGCCTGTTGGTTCAATGCTACTGAGAGAGAACAGAGATCCAGAGTAGAGAAGACACGCATCGGAGAAACGGGAAAGAGAAAGTGAGACCAAATCGGACGAGGATCGGAATCGGTCTCCGTTTGCAGCCGCCTAATCGCCGCCGCCATCGTTGACCTTCCTTCGTCGCTTTCAGAATGGAGAATTGGCTAGGAAAGAAAAGTTAACAAGGAGACAGTAGAAACAGTCAAATTGCTCCGGCATCGTTGTCCAACATTGTTCTCCATCTATTCAGATACTCAGTTGGATTCGGCTCGAAATCCAATTGAGGAATGGCGCCGATCTTCGAGTACTTCGTCGTGTGCGGGCTGGGTCCCGAGATTCGAACCCTGGATGGGAACAAAGGTTACCATGGAGTAGGCGTTCTGTACTTGCCGTCTATGCTTGACCAGTACCCGCCGGAAAATCATACTCTATACCCTCCCCCTCCACCCCAGCTCCCCACTGTAATTGTTCATCTTCCCTCGCATTGCTTACCCCTGGCTTTCTTGCTTTGCTGAAACGAAGTTTGAATTTCGTGGAACATAGCTTGATTGGTTGAATTTTTCTGAAATCTGCAGTGTGTTTTGCCAGCCGGTGTGGAGATCTTCTCGACTGGCTTTGATGTAAACGATCCTTCTAGTTCACCACGGAGCTATCCTATTGTTTTGACGGGTAATTTTGTATTTCTTAGTAGCATTTGGTTTTAGAGAACGACTACTAAGCTTTAGGTCTGTGCAACCTGAGAATTGAGACTTCCTTGTGAGTTTTTTCATGTTGAATTCCCTGATCCGTGTATTGTTGCTGGCTCTGAATCTGCTCCATCCAATGTGTGTTACCTGGTGTGATCCTTCCTTTGAGTTACAAGTGAACTTATTCAAAAAAAAAAAAAAAAAAAATCCTGTTTTCATGATCCCTTGAAACTATTAACTTGGGTGGTATGCATTGGCTGATGCTAGCCCTTCTGAATTTTACTGTTTAGTTAGTGTCTGTGTACGTGTTCAGAAAATTGACTGTACCACCTTTTCCTCAATTCTTACTGGAATGAATAACCTCATGCTTTTTTGTTGCTGTTTTGTGACTTTATGCAGAGGGTGATGGGTCTAAAATTTATGTTAGTTGCATTGCTTTCCGGGATCCAGTTAGCGAGGATATCGCTGAAGCATACCGAATACCTCCTAATTCCTTTGCTGACAAATGCATTTGTCTTGTTTCACGGTCTCCTAGTTTTACTGTCATTCGCAATACCCTGGAGGAGCTGTTTGCCCTTTGCTTTTCCTCGGATGGCAGTAGGTGCGTATGCTTATTAAGTTCATTTCACAAGCATGTCCCTTTTATTACTTCGTATAGATGTTTAGCTAACATATTGCTCTTTCGTCTGCCTTCAACCCCTTTTAATGACTCTTCTTCAAGCTGGCATTGCATTTTTCATCGAGTCTTCTTTAACATCTCATAGCAGAGCCCATTGTAAAACGTTCTTATCTCATGAAAATGATGAATATTGCCTGAACTAAGCTGGTATGCAAGTGACTAGAACTGTGCTCGTTTGAAGTTGAAAATTCTGGCGTGATTTGTGATCACTGCACAAAGTTTACTTGGACTCAGGAAGTCAGGATATATTGTCAATGCTTCAAGTATTTTAGGTTCTCTCTGAAGCAGGCTGTTTTTGTGGCAAAACTTAGAAGGAAAAGGTTGTTTGATGATAATTGTGGTAGGTTAATTGAGCAATTTCAACAGAAACCCCTTATCATTTTAATTTTTCTTTTGGGAGTGCACGTGGATTTTTGCTTATCTCTATATTCTCATTAGTGGGTGATATACACTCTCGAACGGTAGGTTTTTCATGGCTGTTGCTGTGAATAAAGGTTTTTTGTGAGAGGAAATACATTTGATCAGGATTCTTATTTGTGGAAAATTTCAGCAAGCCGTTGTGGGATGTAATTGCACATTTGGTCTCCAATGTACCATTGCCTACTCCTGGGAGGGATCGCGTCTTGTTTGCTATCGAGAATTGTCTGCTTTCTGTTGATCCTCCACCAAAAAACGGTCTTCCTCATGTTGATGTACGGCTTAGTATAACAAACTTAGTCAAGTGATAACACCTTTGCTAATCATCAGCTTTTGCTACATCACGAGAAAATTATATGATATGATAGCATGTGATGTTTTTTTTTGCCAAATGCAGATATCATTTCAACCACTGGTCCAGTGCTTAGATGTTGACAACTTAATCGAGCTTTTTACAGCTGTCCTGCTTGAAAGGAGGATTCTGCTTCGATCCAATAAGTATGTACACTTTCCTTTAGATAGTTTCTGACTTTAGCAACAATGAAAATTCACTTTTTGTTAAAACGATTACTTCCCCTGATTCGTTACAGTAAAACTATGAATTCTCTGGCAATAATTGTCACAACTAGTTTTTAATTTATAATCTTTTGGTTAGTCTTCCTCTGAATTAAGTAGGTCTTAGTTACTTCTATTACAGTAACACGATTACTGTTGCAGTATTGAATTTTTAATATTAAATAAGTTGCTTTTATTGTCTGGAACAGATATTCACTGTTAACAATAGTGTCAGAAGCTATATGCCATTTGATATATCCGTTTAGGTGGCAGGTAAGATGGGATTTCTGGACTCTGTTCTCTTTTTCCTTTGGTTAATAGAATGTTGTTTATTTTTGAACTAGTTATGCATCCTCAACTGTTTATTTTTTATCTAGCTAGAAGGAAAAGCATATTATGATGGTACACAACTGGTAGTTCTAGTGTGTGTTCAAAACTGCTTATGTCTGTTTCTCCGCATAAGAACTTATGTTTATTGATTTGGACGTGTAGTGATTTCAATTCTTGTATTAAGACTCATTTCCTTTTTACCGACTAAAAAAGATCTTGATATGTTCAGTTCAGATCTTATGTTGTGGCTCAAAACTGTTTAAATCTGATTCCTTGTACTTCATAACATGATAAATGTTTTAGCTATAAGTATGCTGTTCAATTGCTTATGATCTCACTTTCCTGGTTCATTATGCTTATGCAATTTAGTTTTATAGACTTGTAAATAGTAGTGGATGTGGTTTTTATTGAATGGATATACTGATCTAAACTGCGAACCAAGTATGTTCTAGTCATGCTGGTTGCAATGAAGCTAATTCTATTATGGGTTTGATCTTTTTATTCTGTGTCTAATTGTTTTCTTGGTGCGAAGCATGTATACATCCCATCACTTTTTTTCAGCGGAGTAGACTATATTGATGCTCCTACGCCATACATGATGGGTCTTCACTCAGGTGTTGATACATCCTACCTTGTGATGGACGGTGTAAGTTCATGCTCAAACTTCAAGCATTTAGTACTTTGTTGTTGATTTACTTAGTTGGATCTTTGCTGTCAGCAATGTGAGAATTTTTAATTTATTTTATTTTATCAACTGATAGGTATCAGTCTTGGCTATAAATCTCCCTTTGATTGGTGATCTAGGTTCCAAAGCTTAAATCAGGATTGGGTTGGATGTTTTCTTCCTTACATTGTTACTAGTCCTTTCCCTTGGCTTTAGTTATTTCATGGTAGTTGAAAACCTTATATCTGCTGTCGGTTGATTGTAATACATTTTACTGCTATCACATCCTATTCATTATTATAAGCTACAGTTTATGATACAGGCTCCCAAGTTATTAGTCCCTTCTGTTCCTGTAGGAGCTGTAAAGTTTGTACATTATATATCCTAAATACTTAAAATTTTAATTCTGGGCTCTCGCAGTTGGTTCAGATAGTGAGCTGTCTTAATGACATGCTTTGTATCGCTAGTGTTATAATGAAATATTTGGTTTTTTGAGCAAGGAGAATATGTTCCCAATTTTTTGTTTTCTCTAGTGCTTTGTATTCAGGCTATGCAACATGCTTAGTTTTGACAAATTAGTAAAATTTTCAGCATGCTTGATGGTTGATATTCCTATATATGACATACGAATTGGACTGGCCGTAGGACCTTATTTTTGTGGTGTACAACACAAGCTGAACATTATGTACCTGATATTGTGTGATAGGTGGTGGTTGTGGACCTTGAGTATAATCGAATAAGCACATCAGAGGAAATACCTCCTATTCCAGAGCCGGAATTCAGTTCTTTGCGCATGGATATACTGAAGTTGTTGCATCCGAAAGTTGTGGGAATAGATCAGATTAAGACTAGCCCAGCTGGTTCGTCGGAACAGTGGGCTATTCCCTGCAACCAGCCTTGGGGAGAGGAACAAGACCTTCAACTTAGGTGATACCTGGATGCTATTGTACTAAAGAAGTAATCGTTGTTTCAGATTAATTGGCAATTTAAGGTTTTTAATGGAATTTTTGAACTTTATTCCTTCAGTTTCTTTTGACCATATAAGTTTTAGCGAAACATTCATCTTCCTTTCTTTTATTTTTCATCTTTCTTTTCCCTGTTAAATTTATGTTTCCTTTGTTCTTTAGAATGCAGTTTTGTTGCTTGCATCAGCTAAATTATCTAATAAGGATTGCTTTTTATTTTTGTTTCTCATGGCTGATGATGCCAAGGTTCAAATGCAGGGTGTGCTGGATGTTGTCATCCCCACATTACTGTTAGGCCAGTTCCTTGGGCTTATCTTACAAGGATCGTTATGAATTTGAAAAACACATCCAAGTGGAAGTTTGATGATTTTTAACCAAATGATGATAAAAGTTAAACATTTAAGTAGTCCAGTCAAGAAACCACTTACGATTGTATTTGAGCTAGTTGATGTATATAGAAGTAAGTTGTTCAAATATCCGAAACTTGTTTCTGGTGTCATTTTAGGCTAGATCAGGAGCATATGTATGCTGGTGTAAAAGCTTCTTGAGACACATTTTGGCTTTGTCCAGTTGATTTATCATAACAAGTTAACAACAAGTATGGCTTTCTGTCAAGAGACATGCTAGGAACTCAAAATTTGTGATCTTTGTTATTTGGTATCTTTTATGTTGGTTTGAATGTAATGAATTTTTTCTACGCATCTGCAGGCTTATATTTCTCAGGTTCTTTGCTTCAATCTTAGGTGGCTACCGCAATTTCATTGTATGGAAAAATTCTTCCTCGTTGTTTGGAATCACTTCTAGGTCTATGACATTGCTAACCCCTGTATATATTTTCTCACTACCGAATTTGCAGGAAGATAGTGCAGCTCAGGCCTTCAACAATCAGGCTTTTTTAAAGAAGCGCTCTAGGTCGACGCATCAACCTCCAGATGCGATGGTTGGATTCTTTTTCCTTATTGCACTTGCGTTCTCAGACTTCTTGTCAATGAATTTGTTTCCTTATTAAAGCACTTCGTTTATTTTGGATGATATGGTTAGGGTTTGATTATTTTTCTTTTTCATTATTGGATGCCTGGATGGAGGTTTGCAGCAGATAGTTTCGATGTTAGCTCAATATTTATGTTGTTAGCGAAAAGGTAAAGCAAAAGCGGCATGATACATATATTTCCCCTCTATGGGTTTTACAGAGCATCGAATGAGTCATTTGGTGGCTTTACTGAACTTTCACTCGTTTCATTGCTGCTTGCTGTACACCCATACACCTAGTCCTTTTGGTCAATTATTTTTACCTTTAGCTGTGTGGGTTGTGTTTGTCCTGTGCCCTTGTGTTCTCTTGTTTTTGTATCTCTATACAATCGCGAATCACAAACTTCTAGTGTTATCTGGCAGCTGACTGCATGAAGATTCTGGTTCTGTATGTCCAAAGATTCAAACATTGTACACAACTTCCAAGTTGTCTATTCTCTCTTCAAAATTACAAACGATTCTCTTTTGTAGTCGTTGCCAGTCATTAGCTATTACTTGAGGCAGAGTAAATTTGTAGCCATACTGCACTTATTTGTTTTCTGCTTGGAAGTTTCCTTTAGTCTTAGATAGAGACCAGCCTTTTGTTCTCCATTAGAAGTATCTGGTCTCACAAGAAAGATGTGTTACGTCTTTGAAGCAATTAATGGTAACAAGTCATTTCTTACCTTTTCCTTTCTGATGATTGACTGATAGTGCACCTATTGGTCATTCTGCCACTTGACATTCTTTTACAGGAACTTTTTGTTCCCTATTTGAAATTTTGGGCACATCGAAGGACATGTGCTTTGCTATGAATCGATTTCTTATGTTGGTTCTAGCCAAACTTTACATTCGCATATGCAGATGATAGTTCTTTTTATCTGTGGATAGCTGAAGTAATTGCCTTCATTTATGAAGCTCAATGGATCTAGAGATTGGAGTTGCTGCTTTCTCGCTTGGATTACATTCAAAATGTCTAACTGTGGATAGCTTATCATGTTGCTGCTTCTTGGTTTATGATGCTATTTCACACTGTTTGCAGGTATCCCAGTTTTTGGATACACATGGCTTCCTGGATTTTCTTGAAAGAGCTGGAAGCCTCGAGGAAAGTGACAGTAATCTCCTAGACAAGTTACAGGATGCTATTGGGAGGGGTCAAAATCCCATGTCAATTCTCCCCTCATCTGCTACGGAGCCTGAAATTGTTACCATATCAGATCCAAATGGGGGTGAATCAAGTACAACTGGGATCCTAACTAGCCACTTTTGTTTCTAAATATATTTGATGATGTGTCAGAGTTACTTAATTGTGTTTGTCATTAAATTAAAAGAAATTTGTCTTTGTTTCTTCAGGATCAGGTGCTAAATATATTTATGACAGGTTTCCTTCTAACATTAGAACAGAAGAGCAGGAGGAGAAGAGGAAACAGATCCTCGCTGCAGCAAGTGGAGCTTTTGAGTACATTAAAAATGCTCCCAGGTATGTGCCTTTCTTGAGTATCATTGTCCTTTTTCTTTCCTTGGAAAACATAGAGAGAAGGGGGGATCTTGAGAGGTCCAGCATAAAACTAAGTGGAATATGCCAATTCAATTTCTAGTTGCCGCTCTGACGTAATTGATTTTTCTTCCAGCTCACCATCTGTTCAAGTGGGGAAGGAAGCTCTTAGTCCCATGGAGAGGGCCGTAAGTTACTTATATCTCGAGTAGAATGCTGTTATAGTTCGGGAACTGTTTTAAATGATTCAAACCATATGCAGGCGGAGAGAGAACGCATGGTCCTGGACATCAAAGTTAAACTGCAGGTGAACAAAATACACTATCCTCTTTATGGAGTTATGGTGTTACAATTTTTGGCTTATCATATCGCCTCCGCCACCTTTGATGAATAATCAAATTTTGGTGGATTTGGTTCTCATGTTGTGATGGTCTTTTTCTTTCTCTGTTATTAATGTCTATGTTCTAAAGAATATATTTTATACAGGGCTTATGGCTACGTCTTCTGAAACTGGGTGCCACTGATGATCCTCTTTCCTCATTTGAGTATGGCACAATCCTTGGTATGCTTCTCAATTGGCGGAACTCTTCTTTACAGTCTACAATAAAGCATTGCACCTCTGAAAGTGCACCTTGTTTTCTCTTAAGAGTGCTGCAGATTACAATAAAGCATTGCACCTCTGAAAGTGCACCTTGTTTTCTCTTAAGAGTGCTGCAGATTAACAGGCAGTTTATACTTGCTTTGCAGCATTGATCGAGTCTGATGCTGAGGGAATTGGTGGTAGTGGGTTTGTTGAGTGCATAAGCGAGCATATACATACTGTATGTTATTGGAGAAAGCTACAGCTGAATGTTTACCATCTCTTGGACAAAGCATAACCTTACGTGGGTTTCTTCTTGCAGGGCTGGCAGTGTCAATTGACTGATGAGCAGTTCATTGCAGTTAAAGAATTGGTAGGTTATTCTGCAAAGTTTTTTTTTTTTCTTCATACAAGCTGGGTGGCGTTCATTGAACTTAAATGTGGAGAAATCTTAACTACCTTGGACTATACATGATAGATAGATCTTACCGCAGTTCGAAGTCCAATTTTTCCTGTAGTGGTTCATTCAGAAAATCCCCCCCCCCCATAATGGTAGTAATATTTCCATTGTTTATGCATTCTCTTATTGGCAACCTTTCGCCGAATCTTATTTCTTTAGCTTTCTATTGTGTGGCCTTTGCTCTCGCTTGCGATTCTGTGGGAGAGCTAAAGGACTAAGGTTTTGTTGATTAATGACTTGAGGGAGAATCATATTGCTCTTTATTTATTTATATATATTCCAAAAACTTTCGCCCATTTCCTGAGGAAGGAGACTTATTTTCTTAAAAGGTGATATTGGAAAAGTTCTGAGTTACTGGATCCTTTTCTTGAGTTTTTTTATGCCTATTTGCTGTTGTCGATACAACTGATTGTACTTGTTATAGAATGGGAAGTACACTGCTATGCTACCTCATGAATAAATTTCTTTCGACTGATCAGAAACCATTCCCTAATGCTCTTGTTTGCTGAATCCAGCTTAAAACAGCGATTATCCTTGCAACATCACGCAATGATATGTCGACCGTTAGAGATGCTTTGGAGGTATCAGCTGAGATGTATAGGAAAGACAACAACAATGTACCTGACTTTGTCCAACGTCATCTAATGTCATTGTCCATATGGGAAGAGCTACGGTATGACGTACTAGTCAACCAATGCATGATTTGTTATCAAGATGTGCATTTGTTCATACACCCGTTACCATGCATAGGCTATGCTAAACACAATTTGTGCTTATCTTCTTAAGTCATGTTCCAGAACTTCTTGTTAGGACTTTGCGGATTCTTTCAATGTTGCAGATGATTAGATATTGATCTTCTTCTTTTAAGTGAATCTATTTCATGCAATCTGTATCATAAAGCACAACTTCTGGTTCCCCTTCCCTAATTTCCGGCGCAAGTTTATGTTTATTCTAGCATTTATATGCTTCTGCTTGCTTATCTTTCAGGTTCTGGGAAGGATTCTTTGACTATCTGATGGAGCGTTCCTCTGACAAGTAAGCATCTTGCAATTATTCTCTTGTCAAGTTCTTTTCTTCTTCGCATTATGTTCCTCTTCTCTCTTCTTAAGGCACTTCCTCTGCACGCTCACACAAAGACCATCATGTTTTTCTATTTTAGATTTGTATCCAAAATCATCATTTTTTATTGATGTTAAGTTGTTAGTATTGATCGACTTTGAATTTAATATGCATGTATTTTCGTTGTCATTACTACCTCACAAAACACTATATGTAAGAATATGAATCCGTATTTCCAATTCATGCCCTTAACTTTCTAACTCTGAGAATTTCTGCGCAAGTGACATCACTCACAACTGATCCTATCGAGGGTTGTCCATCACTTTCAGGTCTGCCAACTATGCTGCTCAAGTGACATCACAGCTGATCCTCGTGGCTTCACACATGGTTTGATTTATCTCCATATTCAACATGTCTTTTCTGGGTTACCTTCCTTATTCCCAACAAGATTTACTTGTTTCATCAAATTTTTTTGTGTGTTTTCAAAAGGCTGGTTTAGGAATTTCTGATACTGATGCTTGGTACATGATAGAAACGATCTCAGAGAAGAATAACATTGGATACAAGCAGCTTGTAAGTAACCTCTTATCTTTTGAAGTGTTTCAAAGTTATGATTGAATGTAACTTGTAAGTTATGATTGAAGTGTTTCAAAGTTATGATTGAATGTAACTTGTTTCAAAGTTATGATTTACTAAATGTAGTGTTTGACTACCCGTGGGTAAACATTATAGATTTTTTTTTTCTTGATTTTTCGTTCATTTTGGTGGTTGTAATATTTCAGATTCAACTCCGTGGATTTTTAACACATATACAACAACTTCGTGTTGGTTATTGGGGAGTCTCGTCTGTAAAGGCCCCATCCATTTCATCTATGGGATTGTCTTCTCCTCGCCCAAAAGATGGCACAGATGAAAATCAACAACCTGCTGAGGCTTCTGTTGTTGGAAGGAGCTGGGTTCAAAGCATGTTTAGTAGAGATTCTTCAAGAGTAAACTCTTTCGCTCGTGTCCGTAAATGGACTTCTGATGGTGCTTCAGGTTTGTTTTATTCATTACTCATTCTTACTGCTTTAATATTGCTTTAAAGTTTCCCTGCTTACTGAACTGTAACTCCCTGCATGAAGATTCTTCTGCTGCTGGCCAAAAGAAACTGCAAACAAATGTTCGAGTACTTAGAGGCCACAATGGTGCCGTAACTGCTTTGCACTGTGTGACAAGAAGAGAGGTCTGGGATTTAGTGGGGGACCGTGAAGATGCTGGTTTCTTCATCAGTGGAAGCACTGACTGCATGGTAACTCGTGATAACTATATTTTCTGCGAGATTAATATTTCTGCCTGCATAATGACTTGATTCATTATGTGCTCGTCTTTAGTATCTGGGTGAGGGTTGATGGAATATTTGCAAGTTTATCTTTCTATTATGTTACACAAGTTTATTTCAAGCGGTCAGATTTATTTCAGTATGCTATAAGCTCGGACTTTCTGCATTACCTTTCATACTTAGTTAATCTTTCATGAGTGATTGGATCAGTCATGTGTTTTGTGCTATTGTTTCAGTGTATCTGGTCTCCTTTGATTTGTGACCTACTAGGATTGACTTATTTAGGAAGTCATCATTTCTGGTTTTCAAGAGTTTTAATGATTCTTCAAATAATGATGCAGGTTAAGATCTGGGATCCTAGCATTCGTGGTTCTGAACTTCGGGCAACTTTGGAAGGGCACAAAAGGTTTATCACTTTTGCACAACTTTTCTTACGAATGGGAAATACTGATGGCCTTTCTCCATGACGGATTCTGATCCTTGTGCAAAGTAGTTTTGCCCTTACGTCATTGGTTACCTGTGCAGAACTGTGCGTGCAATAAGTTCTGACAGAGGGAAGGTGGTATCAGGATCCGATGACCAGACTGTTATTGTGTGGGATAAGCAAACAACCCAGCTTCTGGAAGAATTAAAGGGCCATGAAGCTCAGGTTTGCTTCCCCTAAGGCATTCTGTCTGTTTCTTGAAACTGTTCTGAATAGTCCATTCTGATCATGAGATGATAATTTTTTTAATTTCTAATTAATCTCACGACAGAAATACTCACGTCCTGTGTTTTATAGGAAAGCATTGCTGTTAGTAGTGTTAGTGACCATACCGTAGATCGAATCTGTGAGGCTACTACTTCGAGATTTAATGGTGGAATTGTGAAAAAACTGTGGCAAATCCGTGTTAAGCTATATTCAATCATGATACATCGTGTTGAGTTTATCTCCAGTGCGCGATTCAGCCGAGACAACCACCTGTTGGTTACAAACATTCGATAAAAACTCAATTGCCATGTTTTTTATGAAATCATAGTGCTCACAAAAATATTTTCATATGACAAAAGTTGACGCATATTTGTGGCATCTGTTAAAGTGTGAATTGTGTGGTTTATGTGCACTAATCTGTACTTGTCTCATGCAGGGTCATATTGTAGTAGTATCAGTTTGGAATAGGAAAAAAGCACCTTGCAAGTGCCTAGGAAAATCATGGTTATTTGAACTTTTAGACTTGACCCAGTAATTTAGTGTTGGAGCAAGCAGAAGACTAGCTTCCCCCATTTAGTGCACCTAAGGGCTAAGAGTATCTGTTTACTAAAGCTGCCTGTCACATTAAATTACCCAAGAACGATAGCATTAAAGAAGCTCGGATCCACAAGTTTCAGTGTTATTTGTTATGGATATATCACCCATAATGTGATAGTGAGAAACATCCTTTCAGAGTGACATGAATAACAGTTGGATACTTGAAGAGTTGGTTTATCCTTGTGTTTCTTGTAGGTCAGCTGTGTCCGCATGCTGTCAGGTGAGAGAGTCCTCACTGCTGCTCATGATGGGACTGTTAAGATGTGGGATGTTCGAACGGACACCTGTGTAGCAACGGTTGGTCGTTGCTCTAGTGCTGTCCTTTGCATGGAATATGATGATTCCACTGGGATTCTCGCTGCTGCTGGCAGAGATGCGTATGAAACTTGCATCCTGATTTTCTTTCCTGGTGTGTGTTATCAATTTTTTTCTGCTTTACATGCTAACTATAAATTCATTACATATTGGATGCCAGTGTTGCAAATGTCTGGGACATCCGAGCTGGAAAGCAAATGCATAAGCTCTCAGGGCACACTAAATGGATTCGGTGAGCTTTGAGCATCTTCTTCTATATATTTGGTGCTCTGGTTATACAAAGTCATGGATAAAAGCTTGAAGGGGGTCTATGTGATACGTGTAATCATGCAGGTCTGTTAGAATGGTTGGAGACACGCTGATAACAGGTAGTGATGATTGGACTGCTAGAGTGTGGTCTGTCTCACGAGGAACATGTGATGCTGTCCTAGCCTGTCATGCTGGGCCAATCTTATGTGTGGAGTATTCTGCAGCTGATAGAGGAATTATAACAGGTTGTAGATCTATCTGCTAAACTGAGAAGATTTTGTTTTCAATTTCTATGTTGTGCTCAATGCTCATGAACGAATCTTTCATGTTATGCAAGTCTCATATTTAGTGCCTTTGACAAACTAAGTATTAGTGCTGCTAAACATCATGATCTATTTCAGGTTCAACTGATGGGCTACTTCGATTTTGGGAACATGATGAAGGTATGTGCAGACTATCTACTTCAAATTTTACAAGCTGTTGTGTATCTGTATGAGTTCCCAGCTTCTGTGTTGGACTGATATCCAATTTCATCAGGAATTTGCCTTGTACATATGCATCATTTGTTGCTGTACTGGAAATACATTTTCTGCTCGTCAGTAAGGAATATAAGCTATCTGATTGTGACTATCAGTAAAGAATATTTGCCTTGGTTTAATGAGGGGTGAAAAGCATCCAAATATCAGTAAAGAAAATAGCTATATAGGTTCTTTACGCCCTCTTTGAGACTATGTTCTATTAATTTGTAAATAGCACACAATCTTCTACCTTTTCCGCGCTCACTCACCCAAATATCCCTTATGTCATGGTTTTCTTCTCTTATTTGCACATTGAACTCTGAATCATACTAGATTCATCGTTTGTGCTGAATTTTCATTATGGAAGCTTTCTATGAAAATTGATTTTGTGTTAAGATTGAACCTAAGTGTTTTAATAGTCGATTGTTAACAAACAATGACGTTTATTGTTTACTATTTTGTCTGTGGTCTTTGTTTTTAAACAAAGTGCAATTAACTATGCATTGTGGCGTTTTGATAACAGTATTTTGGTATGCCATATGATATATATCCATGCAGGAGGCGTAAAATGCTTGAGAAATGACACGATTCATAGTGCTTCCATTTTGTCTATCAACGCTGGGGAACACTGGCTTGGAGTTGGAGCCGCTGACAATTCAATGTCTCTCTTCAATCGCCCTCAAGATCGACTTGGTGGTGTGGCTGGCTCAGGGTCAAAATTGCCTGGTTGGCAGCTCTACCGGACACCACAAAAGATGGTTGCTATGGTAACATAATCCGTTGCTTAACTGTTAATTCGTTCTCTGCCTTCTCCATATCTGACATCAAACCTGTCTTGCTTCTGGGTTGCATTCTGCTATCACCGATCTTATTCGTTATCCTAGTAAAGTAGTTGAGCAAGAGAAATTTACATTAAACAGCTGTGAAGGGCACATATTACTTTGATATGGTTGGACAACTTGAATTATTAGTCTGAGCTGTGTCCTGGTATTTGTGAACACAGGTGCGATGTGTGGCTTCGGACCTTGAACGGAAGAGGATATGCAGTGGCGGTCGGAATGGAGTTCTGAGGCTATGGGAAGCAACCATCAACATATGATAATCCCCCCCACGAATGATTTTCTGCTGGGCAGCTTTACAGTTTCACCCCAAAAAAAAATCTGTATCCGCTTCCACATGTAGCTCTTGCAGACTGAAAAGGAAAAAGGTAATCTATCAGGTGAGATTGAAGGGATGTTTTACGCATTCAAACCTCGAGTTCTCTAACGTCAAACCCCAAGCATCCGTTGTCGGATCCATCATTGGCACCAGAAAACATCGCTGGAGCTGTTGCCCCTTGTCGAGACAATGTGGCTGTCCTCCAGAACAGTCGTCCTCCCCATCACCGGCTGGTTCAGGAACTGTGCTTGATTGCTGATTCGTAACGACACGATTCCTTATTCGTTACAGATTCGATGGTTTTGTCTGTCAGGATCTGGGTTTTGCTTGCTTCCCAATAACATGTAGAGCCTTGTTTGTAAAGATATCGAGCCTCTTCTTGATTCTTAATAGGTACATAGCGTCTTGTTTGTGAGAATTCGAAGACCTTGTTTGGTACGGATTTGAGTGCTCGCTTGCCGGAAATGATACAACCCCTTGTTTGAAAAGATTTAGGACTTAGCACCAACGATCTAAGAGCTTGACGACGACGACGACACGACAGGAGAAATGCAACGGCACATGTGATTAAAATTTAAGGGGGGGAAAAAAGCACTATCTAAGAGGTCCACGTCCCCCATGATTAAGGAGGATTCAGCTTCAATCCATCTCGTCATGCGACAGGGGAAGTGCCACTTGTCGCCCGATCGGCGGTGGATGATAAACATCGTTTTTCACATCACTGGCTACTTGTCGCTGCGGATCGGCATCTCGATCGGCCGCTTTTACTTCGCCGTCGCCAAATAAATTCAGGCGGGAAAGAGCCAAAAAGCGAGATTGATGGAGGAGAAGACGAAGAACGGAATTTAGGAGACTCTAAGGCTTCCCCCACGCGTAACAACGGCAGTGGAACGCGTCGATGCATGCAGTTGCAGATCACCCACTCGCGGGTGAGCGGAAAATGGTGACGGTCCGTCACCATAGCTGCAAATGGAACACCTCATCTATCTTTGGAAGGATAGAAAAATGAGGTTGTATGAGTGTTATGGTATTTTATGCTCAAATCATAGTTTAATCGTGATTCAATTATTTTTATTATCGCCAAATATCATCTAAAATTTTCACTTTTAATAGGAAGTTGTCAAACCACCGATACGGTACAGTTTTTGAATCGGTTGTTCATTTCTCGCCCAGCCTATACCCTGTTTCGCGATGCTGCGTCGCAATCAGTATTGGAGGGAACTCTCCGGGCGCGGGTGAGCTAAAACTACTGACAGTCTCTCCAACGTATTTCTCCATGGACACCTTCTTCCATTTTCCTCTTCCCGTCGTGTCCGCCGCGACAAGTGCCTTTCGATCGTAGCTTTTTTCTTACAAAAAAAAAAAAAAAAACGACACAACCCAACAACAATTAGGGAGATTTCGATCATGGGCACTGGGATTTTCCTGGCTATAACACGATCTTAACATGTATCCGAGCTTTTTCTCCTTCTGGGTTCGTCTCTGTTTCCTCCTTTCCCACCTCTTTCAATCCTCTCTGAAGCTCATCTTCCGGTAATTCACTTCCTCTGTTCTTTCCTTCATTTACTCTGGAAAGTCCTTCTTTTGGGATTATTTCCCCCTTTCTTTCTGATATGGAGTTCGTTTCTGTTTTGTTGTTTCTTTCCGTGGCAGATTCCATGAATTTGAGAATGGAGGGAATTCCGAGGAGGAGGAGAAGGACGATAATTACCAAGCTCTACTTCATCGTGACGAACAAGAAGATTCCGATGGGCGTAAAAATGGCGGATTGGGGAATACTATTGCTGAATTGGACACTACTGTTCCATCGGGGGGAAGTGGTAACAATAATAAGTACGAGTTCGTCTCATCTGGGGAAGTGATGACTGGATTCATAGAAGAACCCAGGATTTTGAAATTCACGGTCTATGAAGCTCCTCTTAACGATGACGAGAAGAATTTCCAAGGAGATGAATTCGATGCAGAGAATGGTTGGGACTTCTTTGATCGTTCCCTGATTGACAAAGTACAAAAACGCAGCACCAAGTTCATCGACGATGATTATGATGATACTACTGAGAGTCCGGAGGAGGAAGAAGAAGAGAAGGGTTTTGGCTACGAAGGATTTTCAACGGATGAAGAATCTGAATCGCTTGGATTTGAATTAATTTCAGAGACGGCGTCAACGGAAGAGGAACTTATCTCTGAAATTGAAGGTTTCAGTGATTTGGGGAAAACAGAGTATGAAACAGGGGAAGGTGAAGAGAAGAAGGAAACAGTAGAAGAAACAGAGAAAACAGAGGACTCTGTTTCCGGCTTAGCCATCGAAGAAGAAGCTTCGGGTGAAAGACTGACAGAAGTAAAGAATTCCTTCCGTAACGAAGAAGATGAGAAATTTCCGACAGAAAAATGCGTTCCACCAATCAAAGAGTACCATTTCTTCCCTTACAGAGCTATTTATGAAGGATCAGAACCCGGGAATCTAGGAGCTTCCATTGATGAACAAGAGGTTGAGAAGATGGAATCTGTTCAACCCCCAGAATCCAACGATTCCGAAGCAGGATCCCAACCACATGAAGATGAAGAAGATGATTACAGCGAAGAAGAGGAAGAATTCATTGAATTTGACCCAAGGAATCGGGATTCATCTACTTCTTCCATTAATGATCACACAGTGGAGCAAGAACCAATCCAGCAACCCGAACCGGGAAATCCAGTCGAACCGAGCATCGAGGAGACCGCTTTCTTCTCGAGTTACGAGAATGAAGAAGACGATACAGATGCACTGTGGGAGCACTGCGACATAGTCGAACAGCTGAAGATGGAGCTCAGGCAGGCCAGAACCGGTGGCCTGCCGACGATTCTCGAGGAATCGGAGGAGACGGGAGAAGAATCATCATCCAATTCTTCTCCCAAAGTGGCTCAGGAACTGAAGCCGATGAAGATCGACGACGACAAGGTCGAGTACAAAGATCTCATTGACAGCATCCACAAAGTTTACAGGAATTACTCAGACAGGATGAAGAAATTGGACATCCTCAACTTCCAAACCATGCATGCTGCAGGTAAATTAACTCCCCAAAATGGAAAAATTACTGTTATCAGCTTTTACCATTTACCATGTTCAATTCATTTGCTTAAACTCCATTAGGTGAAAGAACAATTTTCTTATTCCAAAAGAGCAACGCAACATTTCTCCACCATTAAATATTCTATGCCAAAGCTTGATTCCTTTTCCCCCTTTCTCCATTTCATTGCTAGCCCCACGCCTCCACTCATTTGTCCAACTTTTATAATGATTGAATACCTAATTCAAAATCTTGACTAGCTCACAATCAATTCAATTGCACATTGAACTCGTGCTCAAATCTTTTCCCATACTGGTTTGTTTGTTATTTCATAGGTTTACTGCAACTGAAGGAAGCAGTTCTATCCCAGCCGCCACGGAGGTATTCGATCCCTGCGATGAAATCCGCTGTGCTACACAACTGGTGCAAGCTAGGCAAAGTCGCGGCGGAGCCGATGAGGAAGATCGTGGCGGATTTGCAGAGAGATTTCGAGGTTGTGTACGTCGGACAGCTCTGCCTTTCGTGGGAGTTGCTTCACTGGCAGTTCTGGAAGTCCCTGGAGCTGATGAGGTTCGATTCGTCGTCTCGAAGCTCGCATCGGTATAATCAGGTGGCAGGGGAGTTTCAGCTTTTCCAGGTTTTGGTGCAGAGGTTTGTGGAGAATGAGCCTTTCCAGGGTCCCAACAGGGTCCAGACTTACGTCAAGGATCGTTGCGTCGTCCGAAACCTTCTTCAGGTCCCCATGATCAAAGGTACTGGTTGTTGACGTAATATCAGACTAAGAGAGCGTACGTTTAGAACTTAATAACTACGACGTTCATGGTAAATTCGAGCATAATGTATATGATAGGACGAGCGGTATATAAGAGTACTAACATAATATTTAGTTTTTGAATATCTTTCAATAACACGAAATATGATTGAAGTGTTTTTTTTTTGCTTGTAAATTTTGTAAAGAGGATAGCTTGAAGGAGGAGAAGGAAAAGGAGCACGGAGATTACGAACTCGTAATCACGAGTGAATTGCTTGCAGAGACCATCGACCGATCGATGAGACTTTTTTGGGAATTTCTTCGAAACGAAAACACCTCCCTACTCGTATCGCAACCTCACATTGATCCCAACGATCAGGACACTACGAACTCGGAGTTCTTCCAAGAAGTCAGAACCGAATTTCACAAGGTTTCACTTCTCAATCTTCCTTTTCCCCCCTCCTTCTGACAGATTCCTGAAAGCACCACTTATACTAAACCCAAATTCTACTGTCTGGTTTCTCTTCTTTCCCCTGCAGAAGGACAAGAAGCTGAAGGAAATCCTGAAGACAGGGAACTGCTTGCTGAGGAAGTTCCAGAGGAATCAGGGATATGAGGAATGCAGCAGGCAGAGGGAAGTAGTGGTGGCTCAAGTCGAACTGAAGCTCGTCTCGAGGGTTCTGAGCATGAACAGCGTAACGATCGAGCAGCTGATCTGGTGCCATGAGAAACTAGGGAAAGTCAGGTTGTCTAACAGGAAAGTCTTTGTTGAGCCTTCATTTCTGCTCTTCCCTTGCTGACACACACACACACTACTCTAAAGATAGCAACTTTGAAAGACCCTATACATTTTTCCTTTTTCTTTTACTTTAGGAACAACAGGTGTATATGAAAAGGATTTTAGAGGTAAAGATAAACCCACTACTATGCTCAACAAAGCCATCTTTTCCGGTTCTGGGTTGTAGTATTATTGAGGGTGGTTGAGGTTATTGGAGTGACTTTACTTTGAAAAAAGGAAGTTGATGATGCAAGATGAAGAAATTAAATGCTGGTTGGTGGGTTGTGATCTTCAATTTGGAGTGTATAACCCACCAACAATAGGATTTTGATGGGCTGGGGTTAAATTGCTGCAAAGCTAAGCTGGCTGAATCGGGGAAAATGATGGTTGATCCCTGTTTTTGTTAGGTAGATTGGGATTTTGGGGAAAGAGGAAGCTAGATTATCAATTAGTCTGGTGTTTAAGAAAAAGAGAAAGGAATTCAGAAGAGAAAACAATCAAATCTACATGATTTTTCGGTTTCTTTAAATCGAATCATATTGTTATAATGGTTTTTGGTTAATCAAATCTCTTTAAGGGTTCACTTTGGTATTCAGGGGAAATACTTGTTTCGGATTTCGGAATTACGGTTAGATTTAAGGGATCGGTTAGCTTGCTAATCCTTCTAAAGGGTTGGAAAAATGACACCCACTATTAATTATAGTTATTTTGTATTAAATTCGTGTTGCATTTAATAATCTTTGAGAATAAAAAACGCATATTCATTATATTCATTTTTTTGAACTATCATTGCACTTATATAACTAGGGGTGGCTATACGTAGGGGTGGCTATACGGTCCGGTCCGGTTAAATTGGCCCAAATTGATCCGGTCCAGTCCGGGTTTTTTGAAAATATAAGGACCAAAGATTGGATTGGATACAGTCCGGTCTTGACCCGGTCCGGTCCCAATTCGGTCTTGATTTTATATTGAGATTGTGGGAATTTGAGTGGCCTAAGGCCTAAAAGGGTGAGGAGTTGGTTAAGTTTTGTACTAAGTGCAAAGGTTTGTGACCGTTTATGCAAATTACCCTTAAGTTTTGGGTGTTGAGCTCTCTTATTCGGTATTTTTCCGGTTTTTTACCTCACATTTAAGCCCAAAGATTGGATTGGATTGTTTACTATCCGGTCCCGGTCCGGGTTATACGGTCCGGTTTCCGGTTTTTCATCCGGTCCCGGTCCAAATAGCCAGCCCTAGCTATACGGTTCGGTCCGGTTAAATTGGTATGAATTGATCTGATTCCAGTCCGGTCTTTTCGGGAAATATAAGGACCAAAGATTGGATTGGATACAGTCCGGGCTTGATCCAATCTAGTCTTGACCCGATCCTGTCCCCCATTCGGTCTTAATTTTAGATTATGCTTGTGGGGATTTGAGTGGCCTAAGTACTCAATGGGTGAGGAGTTGGTTAAATTTTGGCAGTTGGCTCTCTTATCCGATCTTTATCCAGTTTTCTATTTGAGCCAAAACGGTTCTTTACCTCAAATCTAAACCCGAAAATTGGATTGGATTGTTTGTTATCCGGGCCCGGTCCGAGTTATACGGTCTGGTTTCGGGCAAACCCAAATAGCCCGGACCAAATAGCCAGCACTAGATACAACTATCATTGCACCTGTACACTAAACTCATATTAATTACATTCCTTTTTTTGAACTATCATTGTAATGATACAACTATCATTGCACCTCTACACAGATACCATTGTACTGGAAAAAAGAAAGTTATTAATATGGATTTTTAATTCAAACATATTATTAAATGCAACACAAAATAATTATCTTAAAATTTTATAATTAATAGCGATATCATTTTTCCGTATTTACGCTGCCATCTCATCCACTTTTAACGATAATCTGTCTAATCTAATGCAATGGTATTGGAGATTGAATGGCAGTGTTATTAAAGCCGAGCCGCGCCGCTCGGCCCGACCGGTAAAACCGCCACCCGGTCACAAAATCGGCTTGAAATAGTCTAAAAGCCGCTCCGATTTTATGTAGCGGTTGGCGAGCGGCCGAGGCGGTTAACCATTCGAGCCGATTGAGCCGCTCGTCCGGTTTTTCCCATTCAACCACTAAATTTAATTAAAAAAATTACAGAAAATTGAAATAAACCAAAAACGTCGGGCTCTCAAACTGAATCCTTATTTCTATTTCACAATTTCGAAGGAAAGAGATGAGCTCTAATTAAGAAATGTCCACTATTTATACTGATAAAGTTTATTAGGTACCGGTTCTCTAACGGTTTTTAAACGGTCTAATGCCGGTTGGACCACTAAAGTGCGAGCCGTTCGCATTACCGAGTCATGCTCCGGTTTGGTTCTGACAACATTGGATAAATATAAGGGTTAATATTTTCATATGGCCTGAACTTTAACCAAAATAAACATCCTGGCCAATCTTTTCGATCTATAACATCATGGCCCGAACTATACACCAAAATAAACAATTTGGCCAGATTCGAATTTTGACCGTCAACTTGGACGGTCAAACGCGTTGACTAACAGTCAACATGCCACGTCACCGCCCGGTCATCATAAAAATCATTAAATATTTATAATTTACACATATTTTCTAATTTTGAATTATTACAATTAAATTGAAACAAAAAAAATTAAATACAACTCCCCACCACCGCCAGCGGCTCCCCTCCGTCTACCCCCCCAACCTCTTCTTCGAAAGAGAGCTCTGAGCTCTCTCATCTGCCACCCAACCCCAAATCAAACATCCTCTCTAGACCAATCAAACTCTGCTCTTAATTAAAGCAAACATTAAACATAACCATCCAATCTTGAAATCCCTATCTTCTTCTCTCCTGGTCTGCAACAGAGGCGGATCTACCGCTGGCGGCGATTTTTGCCTCGTCGACCATGCTTGCGGTCTCCCTCCGCCCCGTAAAATCCGTCGACGGACACGACACAAGATCCAAAAAGGAATCCCCGACCAATCTTTCGAGCTCGACTGTTCCCGGACCATTTTCTGCTTGTGGATTTTTCGAATCTTGAGGCGACGGACGGCGGGGCTGATTTTGGTTCGGGGGTAGATCTCGTCTGATTCGTAGAGCTCGTCGCGGACAAGCCTGGCATTTTGTTCGATGAGGAGGGTTATGGTTTTGGAGAAGGGAATGGAGAGGAAGCGGGAGGCGAAGGAGATAACTGGAAGAAGCACCTCGTGAGGGATGAGACTGTAGGCTACGTACCGGACTAGCATTGTGTAGGCGACGATGGAGGCGATGCCGAAGAGCACTGACGAAGCCGACGGGGGTATTTTGGCGATGGTGGATCCAGCGGGGAGGCAAATCGCTAGTGCTTGGGGGGTGAGAGGATTAAAAAGAAACATTTTCCTCTTAGACAAAATTTGTAAATGTGTAATTTGTGAAAATTGTGAATATTTTAATGATTTTTATGATGACCGGGCAGTGACATGGCGCGTTGACCATTAGTCAACTCGTTTGACCGTCCAAGTTAACGGTCAAACGTCGGGTTTGGCCAATTTAGTTATTTTGATGTATAGTTCGGGCCAGGATGTTATAGATCGAAAAGATTGGTCAGGATGTTTATTTTGGTCAAAGTTCAGGCCATACAAAAATATTAACCCTAAATATAATTTAGCCTGCATTCAGTGCAGCAAGCAAATCATGGTTCCATGGCTAGCTCCGTTTTGGGCCAGGACTGGGTATTGTGGATCCAGCTCTGTATATTATTTTTGGGCCGAATAGTTATCAGTTCATAATGTACATTTGGCAGATCCGAACTGGGCCTTGTTTATGATTGACAAAACGGGCTGTATACGGTTTGTTTGCTTTGTAGGGGGATACTGCACCGCTCAATCTCGTTAATTAAATTTGTTCTATTATCTCGCCTACACGAACATAAAATTGGACAAACACTCTCAAAACATGAAATAAATACATCATCGTTACATTAATTGGTCGTTTGAATACAAATAGGTAAATATGGCTCAATCAACATACAATAAGTATCCGTAATTTCATAGCTGTGTGCCCGAACCGAAGTTGGTTTAACAATAACGAAAAGGCCCACCAGTATTTAATTTGTTATTTAAAGTCAACATGAACAAATTAATTAACATATGTCCAAAGTTAAGATCCAAAACATGTCCATAACATATGTCTGGCTGGAGGGGTGGTTACCCTAAAGAGATGTCTGTGGCTAGCTAGTTAAGGACACCGCCCATTAATATTATTGTCCCAATGACCCACCGCCCCTATATCATCAAAATTGACGAGAGATCAGACCACAACTAGCTAGCTAGGGAACATCCGCACACCTAAACTACAGTAAACTAAAACAAAGACTGCCCTTTGTTTTTGTTATGTCCAAGAACTGAAGATCCCTTACCAATCTATAAGACCAGATGGTGATGGAAACAAATTTTGTTGGCTGATCTACAACATGCTACGTCTTGTCTTCCCTTCCATACATAAAAGATCGTTACATCATCTTGATCTTAATTGAAAATGTCTTCTCTCACTATAAATAGTATATATATTCTGGTAAATCCAAAATAACTGGTTATATTTTTATCTTCTAAATCATCATATCGTTATCATCAGCATGACTGCGTCTTCTAGATTATAAGAAGGTGTGTTGTTCGATACTATTAATCAAACGAGATGATTCGAAGATGCTTCAAGCTGTAGGGTTGGATAGTAAAATACCCATGGGTATGGGTAATATTGTTATCCCTAGTGTCTGCACACAATCCTGGTATACTTGTTGGTATTGATGCCTCAAACTAATTTCAAGACTCGCGGAGTTACGGAAGTTAATTATCACACTGAGTTCATTGCGTGTAGGGTTTCACGTGAATTTATGAGATTGTTGTTTATAATGTTTGTTGGCATCTCATGATAAGCTATTTTACAAGGCTATTTCACCGCCCCTATCAAAATTGGCGAGAGACCACAACTAGCTAGCTAGGGAACATCCGCACACCTAAACTCACAGTAAACTAAACAAGACTTTGCCCTTTGTTATGTCCAAGAAACTGAAGATCCCTTATAAGACCAGATGGTGATGAAGACACTAACTTTGTTGGCTGATCTACAACATGCTACGTCTTGTCCTCACTCCCATATGCATAAATCGACACATCATCTCGATCTTTATTGAAAATGACTTGTGATTTCAAACAGTGTGTTAGGACGGGAACGAAAAATCGACGATGCAAAGGTAGTAAACAACACCACGAGATATACGTACGTGGTTCACAGAAACATGATATGTGTTAGCTAATCCTCGGGGCAAGAAGAAAGATATCAGTTTCATTGTACTTGAAGAGATACCGATTACTACGACGGAGGGATTGCAAATGTATCCTTCACAGTGGCTACAGTAGTAGTAGTGTTCCTTATACTGAAAGTAAGAGCTTTAACTTTGGTGATATAGCAGACCTAAAGGCAGGAAGCATACATCCACCCAGCTAAGCATTTTTCCCTGGTCGCGAAATGGCTTCCACCCTGGCTGCAGGAATATGTCTTTTGAAATGTTACAGCTATCTCCTATTATTATATATTATGCTCATCATTTCCATTAGGACTGACAAACCCCTCTGCCATAGCTGGGTATCTTTGACTTGTTGCAGCTGCATTCCTTATCTACAAACAGTAGTTCG